CAAGGTAAATGTCCGTCCCGGACTCCCGGTAGCTCGGTCGGTAGAGCGTTGGACTCCATGTGCCATGTGGTGAAGGCGCACGCCCGCTTGCAAAAGTCCGGGTTCGAAACACGACGTGTGCTTGACGTTTTTTAGCCTCCTGACGGGTATGGTTGTGGTTGGTGGCAGGCCGCTGCCAGGCGAAGTCAGCGAGGGGACCGGCCGTGCGCGGCTATGTGCGCACGTTAAAATTTGGACTCTAAACCATAGACCATTTTGCCATAGACTAAACCTCAAAACCATAGTCTACAATAGACCAGGAATTGCTTGATCGGAGGGTAGATGGCAGGTTTCAACGCTTAACAAGCTCAGCTTAGCGGGGACTCTGTCCTTGTGATTCCTTCCATTCAAAAGGTTCGGGCCAAATTTATATTAAAAAAGGGGGAGCCGAACCAGGTTGAGCCGAGTTGAACCAGGCTGGACCGGGGTCATACATGCAATCATGGTCAGACAAAACAGAAGTTAATTTCGGGTCAAATATTTTATTAACTGATCTTATTGTTTTTTAGCTTACACGTAAAATAACTTTTAGCTTTTTATAACTCGAGACTTCATGCACAGAAAGGTGGCGTTCGTCCACTTTTCCTCATCGTCTCTTAGCGACTTGATTTCATGTGGTGGCGGAACGGGGGGGGGGCATCGGGGCACCGTGCCCGCATTTTAACATTAGCCCTATGGGAGTTGCATGGAAAGAATGGGACCCCAGAAGTCGGCAGTGCCCCCACTTCATTAAAGGTGTTCCGCTGCCACTGCTTGATTTGACCCTAAAGGCGTCTTACCAGCAAAAAAATCACCTGCGTTATACCTAAATACTTGCCCAAGGGCGCTCTACGCAAGAAACGCCAGCCGGTCAAAAAACTGGCGAACGAGTACGATCTCTCTAGTGCTTGAATTATATTCAATGAAAATTTCAGGAAAAATAAATAATCTTAATCCTTATAGCTAGAGGCGCTCGGAGCATTCGCTAGCATTCCATTGCCAGCTGCATTATCAACGCCACATTTGCATTACTCTGGGTGCATCATAAGTAAGAGTAGGTGAACCGGCCAAAGCAAAACCATGCCTCATTATCCTTTCCTTCCAAGCTGCCAAGCTAACCGGCCGCCCGGCCCACCACCGCGATATGGAACAACACTGGAGTGCGCCATTTGCCTACGGCAGTGCCCTACCGCGCCGAGGCTGTTTGACAGGTCACCCGCACCGTGACCTCGCCACCCGCCCCCTCCCCCCCCCCTCCCCGCCCACCTCCCCATCGGGCCCAGCTCGGTAGTGACCTCTCCTTGAATTTGACATGGACTCGACTAAGGCTCAACGCCATCTAGTTACGTCTGGAGATCCTAATAAGATCCACTGTACACATATGATAAAATGAATGTCACCATCGTGTTCTACGCCCCAAATAACCCATAAAACATGTGTCACAGGCTGCGAATATCAGTTTTGATTTTCGGGGATATGTGCCCACCCGATTGACCTGACCTTGACCCTGACCTATGCTGGACTGACCCCTACATGAAGCTGACACTCTTGTAGGCCTTATATGATGGATTGTGCACCGTTTTGACAGAGTTTATGACGAGAGGCGCCCATTGCAAAGTCCTGAAGTCCATGCTACTGAAAGCCCGATTTCAGGTGTTTGACCTGACCTTGACCCGACCTGTGACCTCAAAATTCAACTTTAAAGTACTCATCTGAAGCGTCTCGTCGCGTTCTTTCGTTTGCCGTCTCGTGCGTTTCGCTGCGCCTATTGGTTCTCGAGTTATCGGCTGGGGGCATTTAACGCCCCCCCCCCCCCCCAGCAAACGGTGGGTGGCGAAATACCCCAGCAACTGCCGGGTTATCACATGACCGAACCGAGTCAAGGTCAACGCAGGTCAACTGATTAATTAATTAATTAATTAATTAATTAAATTACTAATGATTATTTAATTAAATTTATCAGGAATTGCTTCGAAAGTACACTGACTACCATTTGAATGATTCTATCATCCCTTTCATGTGAAAAGCGGGCACGAAACACGAAAAAGTACCGATGTCGCGCTAATTCTCGCTCCGGTCCCATTGTGCATTGTAAGAAATAGTTTTAGTGTCTATGCTACATATTTTGCGACCGATACCCCCTGAACCCGATTACGACTCGCTGACGAAGTTTTGTAAATACAATTTGAAAGCTCCGACCCGAACGATTTTTTGTGGAGTGAAGCTCTCATTCACTTATTGCATTAACAAACTCCACAGTCCACATCATATCTTTATGTGTAACTAAGCTGTTGGTGGCGGTTAACACCCATTTGGATGTCGGCGGTGACGCCTAATGGTTGAGCTGACCTGGCCCCACCTACCCAAAATGCACGGATGCATCGTCTTTGATCAAAACTAGCACGAAATTGGAAATCAGAACCCCGAAAAAACTCACTAACAACCTCATTTTAAAAAGTTAAAATAGGCCACGATTTTCCTGACTTTTAAGTCATTTACCCGAATTGAAATGCCAACTAATGACCAGCGATCTTAAAATAGGGTACCATCGGCTTCCTTTAGTTACGGTAGGACGTTCATGTTTTCGCGAAGCTATAGTTCGGTTAGGGACTGGACGATTGGGGATCCAACAGAATTCCCCCCCCCCCCAATTATATGCTAGCGGCTGAAAACGCTGTCACGGAAGGGATTTTTCAAAGAGTATACAAACACATAAGTCCTTAATCCTCGCCCGTACTGGTGTTTTGCCAGCCGCGAACGTATATGGGGGGGGGGGGTCCGTTGGAGACATAGTTTGTTACGAGAGACGCCCAGTTCGAGGTTTAAAGTCCATGCTATTAAAAGCCTAATTTCAGGTATTCAAAATAATCTTGAACCGACCTGTGACCTCGGAACTCCACTTGAAGGTACTTATCAGAAGCCTCTCGTAGCGTTATTTTGTTTACTGCCTCGCCCGTTTCGCTGCGCCTCGAGCTATGGGCTATGGGCTATGGGTTCTCGAGCTATGGGCTGGGAAAGTTTACCCCCCTCTCCCACCCCCACCCAGCAAGTGGTGTGTGGCGAAATACTCCAGCAACTGCCGGGTTAACCCTCGCCCGTATTGGTGTTTTGCCAGCCTCGAACGTATAGGGGGGGGGGGGGTCCGTTGGACCGCCCCCCTTGCCGTTTGGCCCCTGATCGAGCTAGAGCTTCGAGAAAAAATTTAAGGTCCTAGGTCATTGGTTGACTTTCCAGGTCAGGTCAATGACCCACTAGTCTGGAAAATCGGGACCTATTAGAACATCGTAAAGTGAGGTTGATGAGGGTTTTTCGGGGTGCTGATCACGAATATCGTGTTAGTTTTGATCACAGATGATGTCTTAATGCATTTAGGCCAGGTCAGGTCAGGTCAGGCCAATCAGTAGACGTCCTGCCAGGTATTCATAGTACGTGTCAGCCGTTACTGACAGCTTCGTAACATGTTACGAAGACACCAAAACAACTTCGTAAATGCTCAAACGGTTGCTTAATTCGAAATCAGCTCCAAAAAGTAGCCTAGAACTCGAAGAAGTGAACCTAGGTCATCAAAGGTCAATGATCTGACCTGACCTTCAGGTGACCTTGACACCCACCGTAATGCATGGGACCAACATCATATCACATGTTTGAACGCTTGAAACCGCAAAAATACTGCAAACGCGCGGCTAATACGAGCCGACATACGCCGAATCGCGATTCCGGCCAAACATGGTCTCGAAAAATAGGCCACAGGTCAAGGTTCATTTGGGACAGGGTCATGAACTTTTAAGGGTAAGTGTACAATTGATTGACTCGACATAACTGAAAGTTTCATCGCGATCAACCGCTTTTTACGCGAGTTATTCGCGAAAAACCATGGGGGTGGGGGTCCGTTCGACCCCCCCCCCCCCCTATACGGGCGAGGGTTAAGTCAGTTAAATTTCTTTCGCAGTTTTCAATTTAATTTACGAATTATGTTCCGGCAGCTATAGTCAAAATGAGCAGAATGCTGCTCAATGTACCAAGCGCAACTTCGTTCTCCGGCCCGCAGAGAGCGGGGGTGTAAGTCAGGCACGGCCTTGGCCGTTTCCTCTGGGGCCGCGCCGTCTGCCGAGGGAGGGGAGACCTTGCCCAGTCTGAGGGAGGGGGACGACGGCGCCACCGGGACGCCCCGTCGCTCCGAGACCGGCGCTCACTGTATAAACAAGCAAAAAACGCTGGCCGTGCAAAGCTTGGCTGTGCTTTGACAGAGGAGGCATCTAGTGGAATATTTCGTAACTACACAAACTTCTAACAAAGATGTCGCTTGAAGCGCGGTTGAGATTGTAGGTTTTGATCCAACTGAAAATTGACATCTCAAGGACGACGAAATGATGTAAATTTATATGAAATGGTTTTGTATGATGCGTACTTTGATTAATGCCAATAATTTTCCACTGCCTTTTTGTGTGAAACGATTTTGTACCTTGCGATTTTGTATGACACGATTTTGTATGCTGCGCTTTTGTATGTTTTGACTGTCCCCTACCCGGCCTGTTTTGTAGGTTTTGCGCGTTGTATGTTACGATTTTGTATGTTTTGATGATTGTATGATAAGATTTTGTATGCTTTGATATGGAGTCATCTCATGCGGGCTGCTCCCGAGGGAGCGCACCCCGTAGCCGGGTGCAGTGAGTACCTTGGGACTGGGTGGCCTGTCCTCTGGACGGGCTCAGCCCCGGTGACTCACTAGGGTGCCTGCCCAGACCAATGTCTCCCCCTATATCCTATCATCCTTCCGGCTCTGAAATGGTCTCATTCGACCGAAAGGGCCTAACCCAACAAAAAAAAAAAAATTGCCCTAGGTAGTGTCCTGTATGATCATAACGCTGTGGAGGTCTGTGAAGAGACCCATGCTGAATTTTACCTCGATGCTGACTCCCTTCTGACCTAGACTAAGATAGGTGGCCTCCAGTGATAACGTTGACCTGTTTGATGGCCCCCAGCGCCCGGCTCGGCGGGACGTCTGATGCTGCAGCTGGGAGCCGAGGGACGTCAGACGCGTGACGTCACTGGCGAGACACTGGCCAATCAGAGCAGCGCCAGCACCGAGGATGACGGTGAGTGTTGTGTGTTATTATTGTGTTTCGCTTCGGAAATGATCCGATTTTTTCTATCGGGCGTTGTGTTTGGTTTTCTGTCAGTAGGCGTTATGTAATATGCATCATTATGGTGTCGTGTCGATTCGATGTTGCTGGCGAATGATACCGATTGATAAGTTATGGACTGGAATGACCTAATGTTACTGTGCGCTACCAACCCTTTTTAGCAGCGATCTCTCGAGACATGACTTGTAAAAACTGTCTGTTGACTGAGGTCATATTTGATAGCGGCCACTCCGGGCGACGAGCCGGCCGTCCACCGGGCCTACATCAAACAGCCCAAGGCCAAGAAGCTCGGTCTGAGCCCCGTGGAGCAGGCGGCGGCCGACAGTCGCACGGCACGGTCAGTGACCACCCGCTCAGCCGTGCTCACATACATATAACCCTTCCTTGAAGGCGTCCAAAGAGCCGGGGAAGCTTGGGTGATTCAAATATTTATGTTCGTGCCGATGCTACCACCGTACCTTTTATTACGAGCGAGCGAGCGCAGCGAGCGAAGTGAGTCTTTTCAATATAACGGAAAAATCTCAGTATGAGCGGCCCGGCCCGGCCCGGCCCGGCCCGGCCTGTAACGCTTTTGAGAGGCTTATATCTCAGCAACCGCTGGACCGATTGGCCTGCGGTCTTTTTTGTTGGGTAGCCCCATCCCTTCTACCCCGTAATTGACTACTTTTGATACATCTCAGTGACCGTCGTGGCACGTGCCACGTGAAAAGTCAAGGGTGTTCAAGCTGTTTTGCAAAAGTAGTGATTTTGAGAGGCTCATATCTCAGCAGCCGCTTGGGCGATTGACTTGCGGTAATTTTTGTAGGGTAGCAGCATCCCTTCTACCCAAAATAGGATAGTCTCGATGCATGTGGGTCACCCCCAGTGCACGTGCAAAATACAACAATAAGAGGTGCCAAATTTGCTCCCATTTCAGTAACTCGGTAATTACTGGGGCGATTTCGCTGAAAGTTGGCATACAGGTAGGCACCCACCAGGCAATGCATTCCCATGTGTTGCGGTTAGGGTACTACTGCACGTGCGCACGTGCAGGGGGCGTTTCCAGATCTCGAGAACGGCTGGGCCGATTGCGCTCAAATTTGGTACACGGTTGGGGACCAGTTAGTAGGGTGCCGTGCAAAAGTCATTTTGGACCCCGTTTGCACGTGCGCACGTGCAGAATGCCGCTTCCAGATCTCAGGAACGGCTGGGCCGATTGCGTTCAAATTTGGCACACCGCTAGCGACCGGTTAGAAGGGTGCTTTGCGCCAGCCCGTTGGAAGCACCTTCTCGCCCTTCCGCACGTGCAGGGCTCACTATCTCGCTCGCTCGTTCTTCGCCCAAAAGGCGTTTTACTGGTATAATTGAGCCCGTTGTAACAGCACATTCACTAAATAGAAGAATAATTGAAGAATTTCTCTTTGACTAACTTTTGTCGACGTGGGGTGGAAAATTATTGGCGATGAGAGGCGATGCCTCTCGGGGGTAGTCACTGGACCCTACAATCATGTCGAGCATGTCATAGTTTACTGTGCCTGTTTCTCGTGTGACAGATGGGCGCGCCGAGATAAGACTGGTGTGGCAGCCGAGGAGAAGCCCATAACCAGCATGAAACAGTGCAGCCTCCGCGTGGGACACGACTGCGTCCTCGAAAGGTAGGTATGCGCTGGATAATTGTTCGCTATAAGTCTGATTATAATGTCCCAGACTAACTGAGTCCTATCACGTAATTTAAAGATGTCTCCGTGTTGTACCCGTATGCCAATGTTCTGCCCGTCGCTCCCACGCTGTCATCTGTTTTACGATTAACTGGTGTGCATGTCTCCGCTTCAAAGACCTCTGGGGTACGCTGACCTCTGGGGCGCCCGTCTCCTCACGCTGACCTCTCTGTCCTCCCAGGTGCCCGGACTGCGGCCAGGTCCGTGAGGACTACACGGAGGAGGAGCTGGGACTGTGCGTGGTCGTACTGGCCACCTTCGTCCACCGGGAGCCGTCCCTGGCCGCCTGCCTGCTGCCCGATATGCTGAGGGCTGTGTCCGGGTGAGAGAGGGGAAGGAGGGAGGGAGGGAGGGAGGGAGGGAGGGAGGGAGGGAGGGAGAGAGAGAGAGAGAGAGAGAGAGAGAGAGAGAGAGAGAGAGAGAGAGAGATAGAGAGAGAGAGAGACAGAGAGACAGAGAGACAGAGAGACAGAGAGACAGAGAGAGAAAGAGAGAGAGAGAGAGCCGTCCCTGGCCGCCTCAATCCATCAGTTTTCCTGTGATATACTCGTTTTACTAGTATAACGTATCTCAAGTAGTTCTAGTCTTCTTCAGTTCGTCAGTTATATCCGCTTTACCAGTACAGCGTTATGGGCGCAAAATGACCACCGCAGTCGACGCGCCCGTAAACCCCAATGAACGAACGAAATGCCTGCTGCCAGACATGCTGAGGGCTGTGTCTGGGTGAGAGAGGGGAAGGATGGAGAGAAAAAGCAATGAGAGAGGGATAGTCCGTATTTGGTTTGTGGACCGAGTTGAGCATGACGCCCTCTGAGGGTTAGTGTTTTGCTCCTATCATACTGCGACCAATTGGCTTGCTCCAAAGGTACAGATTTAAGAGTTTGATATCGTGTCGAACTCGGGGCTCTGCTGTTATATGGCGGCCGATCGACTTTTTCTCATGTGTACCGGGTGCGTGTGTCTGCCGGTTTCAGTCTGGCGGCCCGTCAGCGCTACCCGTGGCAGTCAGAGTCCAGTTACAGCCTACCCGGCTCGGTGAACAGCGTGTGCCGCCAGTTCCTGCGCTGTGTGCTCCACAGGCTGGCCGCACACAACATGTTCTTCAAACTGTTCCAGACGGATATGGACGGTAAGCGGTCATGGAGTGTAGGGGATGGGACGGGTGATTTATTAATTCTCCGTGAAGACTGAGGAGTACTGAGACCCGGGGCTACATTGTCAAATAGCTAGTTCCTGTTTTTGCTGTCGATCATTGACAAAACAACAGTCAAACAACTAAAACTGCGTTTACGTTGATCTCGCCCTTTGTAGGATCGCCTACATAGGGCAGTGACTTGCTTAATATTCTACTTACAATGGCTCATTGCTATTTCCAGTTACTCCTTTGTTTACATGCTGTTGACTATTTGTATCCGTTTTCAGTGGACAGCACGCACGCGTTTTTCCGGACGCTGGCGCAGGCTCTGGCCGACTTTGCCGAGCTGAACACGGCTGCCCCGCTACACCATCTACTCGAGGTGAGTCCGGCGAACGCCAGCTCACCCTCTCCACCCTGGGTGCCTCGGGCAAAGTTCATAACTGTCGCTCAACTGCGCGAATCTCCGTGTTACACTCTGTCGCTTTTGGTGTGGAGTGGCAGTTATACTGTGCCGCAGTGCATCTGTGTGTTGCGGTACAGTCTAACTTCCAGTTCCGCTCCCGCCCGCTAGAATGTGCGCTGGATAATTCCATACTAAGCTAACACGTTCGCGTGTCGTATTCCTAGTTTTGCCTTTCTTATTGTTCTTGTTAAAGCAGGCGTATTGGTCCTTGGTGGTAGACGACACGATTTACCGCACTTAACTGCGCCGCAGTCCTCTGCATTTGAAAATGTATCAATAAAGTTACCAAATGTGATCCGACCTGTGACACCGCCGTCTCTCCGTGCCCCCAGTACCTGAACCGGCAGCGAACGGCACCGTGTCTGGACGAGATGCCGACCATACTCTACAACATGTCCGTGTACCTGGAGTGCGTGCCGCTGGAGGCCGGCGGCAACCTGTACGGCCCGCTGGTATCGCAGCTGGACGCCCTGCTGCACCGGCTGCTGCCCTGCCTGGCTGCGCTGCCTGAACTGGACTCTCTCCTGGCCATCATGTGCTCCGTCCTCAAAATACCCAACGTCAACATGTATAAGGTGGGAAATGGAAGCACGGAATTGGCGGTGTGGCGCATTGGGCTCTGTTTCACGGCACGGGAATTGGTAGTGGCAGATGAAAATTTTCATATGGACACAAATACACGATTTCGTATAGAGACGAGCTACTTTAGTCGATTTACAATGCAATACCTTTATTTCCTCGTTGGTGAACTTCACAAAAAGCGACTGATTGTTTCGCTAATAAATGTAATATGCAATATCGACCTTACTATGTCCGCTGCCGCAGACGATTCTGGAGCCGTTCTCGAAGGTGGTCAGTCTGCTGGTGCAGACCCGTCCGATCGACTACCGGCGACTGGTGGAGCTGTGCCACCTCTGCAACAGGGTCTTCAGCAGGGTCAGTCGCTGGCTCAGCCTGCGGGAGACTGCGACTGCTTAACGTATTAATAAGGATCGTACTTTATTGTGTAGTGTCGTGTCCGCGGTTTTAGCAGGCCGATATGTCAAGTATGTCATGTCCCGATTTTCAGTTCCTTATCAAAGCGGACAGGTCAGTGCGAACTGGGTGCGAAAAACGGGTCACCCTTGCGAAGGTACCGAGCTATGGATATTTGTAGATTGATGTTCAGTATCACATTATTTTCTAGCATCAGCTGAAGCGTCAGTCGCTGCAAATGATCAATGGTGCAGATGTGATCATAAACCCGAGCTGTGTACTTTCCCTCAGGAGCGGGAGAAGCAGCAGCTCTCCCGGGTGGTGGTTTTCGAGCTCGTGCAGGCGCTCAAGTTCAAGTCCAACCCGCCCGACACCAACCTGCTCCTGCTGGTGCACTTTGTTGTACAGGTAGGCCGAGGACCAAGAAATGAAACATGGTCAGTAGTAAGGACTAAGATGAATGTTATTTCCACCGGTCTTTGTAAAGGAGTGTCCTAAAGGAAGATCACCCAATTCATCAGCATCATTTGTTTCGTTTTTTTTTTTGCGGATGCCTGAATTTCATCATCTTTACATCCGTGGGTCCGAAGTCGAACCAGATCACACACTCCTGACCCCCTATGCCTCTTCTCGCCCCCACCCTCCGACCATCTGACCGTCCATTTTGCTCGTCCCAGGACGCGGGCGGCACGATGGCGCCCAGTACCGTGATGGACATGGTGCCCGATCTGGGGACAGATACCGCCGGGGCCACCGGCGCCGCCGAGTGTATGCGACAACACCTCAACGACGCGCTGGACTTCCTGGCAGACGTGCACACACTCACGAAGATCAAAGTAAGATAGATATAGTTGGTGATAAGGTGACAGAGAAATGGATGAGGTGTAACTGTGAGGCGAGCAGGTTGTGGGTTGGACCTTATATTTCTGAGCTGAGTATATATTGTCATCACTATGAATTCAATATTGTTTGTGTAGATATTGCTTTTGTAGGCTGCAACTAGAAACGGGAACTTAGCAGCGCTTTTTTGTTCCAGGTTGTTCCTATTTATGCTTTAAATCGCTCCCTTTACAAGGACCGCTCGGTAGTCTCACTGCTCTGTCGGAATGCCGACCTCTTGCAACTCTCGCACATGTGTGGCCAGAGTAACTGCACGGGCCCGCTGCGGGGTCTGAACGAGGACACGATGGGCGGCGTGCTGAAGGCGGGCGTCGCCCAGTTCGTGGCACTGGAGATCAGCCGCGGCAACAGCCGGGAGAACCGAGCCATCAGCCGCTACCTGCCCTGGCTGTACAACCCGCCGTCGCCCGTCCAGCAGGGGTGAGTATGTGTGTAGTCCTGGTCCGTCCAGTAGGGGTGAGAGGGCATGATTTGTTCAGCTGCATGACGTGTGTGGCTCCTTGCTCGACCTGCCTGAACAACACGATAGAGTACATACCTATGACTCATTCTGTTTTTGACAACTGAAATTAGTGCCGTAATATTTTAGATTCGTTGTTCTTTGAACTGTCAATGCTGAGGCTCTAAAGTTAGCTCTTACGGCGTTTTTCCCCCTTTCCAAGAACGGTTTTAACCTGTTTATTACTCAAAGCTCATCGGCTATCGAATAATGTCCCACTAATTCGGATTCAAGCCGTTGAATGCCGTGTGTCTGCCGTTGTTTCAGTCCGAAGGAGTTTATCGACTGCGTGTCTCACATCCGACTGTTGTCCTGGCTGCTGCTGGGCGCCATGACGCACGCCACCGTCCTGGGACCGCAGGCCACCGTGGTGAGTATCTGCTGTCCTACCGTGCTGGGGCCACCGTGGTAAGTGCATGCTATCCCGCTCTATCCCACCGATTATCTGCCCGCTCTCCCGCAGACCATAGCGTAAGCAATAACTGCTTCGACAGTACACCTTTCTAGTGTCTAATCGGTTTCCTGCTGGCATTGCGTTATCTGTCAATCATTTGGCACATGTGTAGTGTTTTACCCATCACGTTTATGTTATCCGAATCACGTCACCCATTTTCAGACGTATCAGCCGGTGCCCCTGGACGCCAGCTGCCATGTATCAGCTGTGTATCACCTGTAACAGTGGTGTGCCACCTATGTCCCCAGACGTGTCAGCCGGTGCCCCTAGACGCCAGCTGCCACATCGCCGACCACATCCAGGTGATTTTGGCCGGGTTCGCCGAGCAGAGCAAGGCGTCTGTGCTGCACATGAGCTCTCTGTTCCACGCGTTCATCCTGTGCCAGCTGTGGACCATGTATCTGGAGGTGGTGGCCGCCGGGCAGACGCCGCCGGCGCACGAGCAGCACGCCGCCGCGCTGGCCATCCTGGCCGACTTCTGGTCCAAAGTGACGCCCGGCATTCTGCAACTGGTGTCGCACTCACGCGTGGTATGTGCTGGAATAATAGGGTGGGAAAGGGAAAAGGTACACTTTAGCGCACGCTTTGTTTCAGTCTAGAGGGGATGCTGGCGATATGGTCAAATATTTGAGGAGTGCCAGTTTGTTTGAATTGAGTTTTTCCTAATCAGTGTCCTGCAGGACGTAAATATTATGGTTGTTTGTACCTTGTTTCTATATGTTCTGTTGGTACCTTTCTGTATGTCCTTGTCTGGTGCGAAAGAGCATGCTTCAAAGTTCAATATATTGGAGTTATGGAAATCGGCGAGAACGGGCCCTACAGAACATCGTGCCTCTTGACCCGATAACACGAAGATGAAGATGAAGATGAAGATCATATTCATTCGAGTACACACATAATGCGCAAAATATCAATGGCAGGTCAGAAGCGCTGTTGAGAGACTTCCTGTGGGACGGGCACTGTTACTGACCGCCTCTCCCCCTCAGCTGGGTGAGATGGTGAACCTGCACTTCCTGAGCCTGATGGAGGCGGCCACCGCTGCTGACCCTCCCCCCCCCCCCCCCATTTCCTCAGCTGGGTGAGATGGTGAATCTGCACTTCCTGAGCCTGATGGAGGCGGCCACTGCTGCTGACCCTCCTCCCCCCCCCCCCATTTCCTCAGCTGGGTGAGATGGTGAACCTGCACTTCCTGAGCCTGATGGAGGCGGCCACTGCTGCTGACCCTCCCCCCCCCCCCATTTCCTCAGCTGGGTGAGATGGTGAACCTGCACTTCCTGAGCCTGATGGAGGCGCTGGCCGAGTGTAACGCGTCCACGCTGGCCCGCCTTCTCCCCGTCTGGACACAGGTGTTCTACGCCTACAATGAACAGGTGAGGCTGCACGGTGGTTGTACAGGTTGATGATGTGAAAATACCGTAAGTGTAAGGAGGTGACGTGGTTGTCATGAATTGTAATAATCGATAATCGTGACAGGGGATAGTCGTTCAATTCAGATATTCGTTCAAGAGTGCTAACAAGCGTTGTGTAGCGTTTTCTTGAAGAATACGTGAAGGTAGGCATGTGGCTGCTGGGACGGTGCAGTTTAGGAACCGCGCCATAGAAGGTGGTTATGTTTTGCTCTATGTGAGTCTGAGCTCAAGTCTGTTCTGTCGACCGTTCAAGGCTGATATGTCTGGTTTTGACTTGTGTGACTGTTCCCTGCGTTGCTCCGCAGCTGCCGGGCCACCTGAGTGTGCGCCTGCAGAGCTGCCAGTCACAGCCGGCCGGTCACAGCTGTCTGCAGCAGAGTCCGGCCGCCCATGGCAGCTGCCAGCTGCCCACCTGCGCCTCGCAGGCGGCGGCGGCCGGCGCGGCCGGCGGCTGCCGGCAGGAGGGCGCGCCCGCGCAGCCGACGGTCCACAGTAGCCACCAGCTGCTGCTCAGCTGGATACAGCGGCTCCAGTTTAAAATGGGACAGATCGAGCTGCAGTCGTCGGCGGCCGCCCAGTTCTACACCGTCTGAGCGGCCCGGCAGAGCCAGGAGAGCCGGAATACACCGAGGCCGTGGTGTGGTAACGCGCTATTGTAACACTTAGAATGCCGTGGGAAACCAATGTAATGTGACTTTAACGTTGGAAGAGCACCGTTAAACGCATTGGATAAGCGTGCGAGAGCACCCTGAACACCGGGAGCTTCTGGACATGGTGTGATGATTATTTGCCGAGGTGTAACTGTGTGTAGCCGTTTACTAAACCCATGGTGCATGGCTCGGCCTGGCACGTCTGAAGAAATTTTACGGGGTATTTGTGGCTGATTCAACTTGCCACCAAAATCGGTGCGCAAGTACGCAAGACATGGACCGGAACGACATCCCCGTGAGTTAACGTTCTCAAGATAATCCCCATGTCGGTGTTAGCAATGTGTTTCATCTCCCCTCTTCCATCGCTTCCCCAGTGAGACCAGAATATGTTGTCCTAGTTAGCTTTTACCGACGTGCTGCCAAAGTGAGCGGTTTCACCTAACCCAAACCTGAGCTTATAGTTGCCAAATTGCCGCCAATTACCGCTCGGGAGGTGCTAGGGCTCGCTGTGACCGGGCCGCGCGGCGCTGAGAATGCCTAAATCGTAGTGTCAGCGGTGGCCGGCCTGAGCTGCAGACCCTTCTCTCTGTTAATTACATGTCGCCGGGGAGACTGCCTAGCGGCAGGGCTGTGGTGTGCTAGCTAGGTAGGACTAGGGACTAAGCCCGTCATGGCCACGATCCATCCTCGCGGCCCGGTGCGGTTGTTGGCTTGGTGTTGTCAGCTGTTGTCTGTTGTCAGCTCTTGTCACCGGTGTCGCAAAGGCTATAGAATGTGATGTGCTCTAGTTGTTGCCTGTGTTGTTTTTTTTTGTGGCTTTGAAATGCTAGTCATGTCGTTTGACGTTAGATGATCAGCTGTTATATCACGAGAAACTATGACAGCCAGTGTAGTAAGAATAAACAGTGACCTGTCACCTCCGCGACATTTTCTATTCATCGAATCCTAAAGAGGTAGTCGTATGAGACTGTTTGTCGCGTGGCTCGTGATTATGTGTAGGCCGATTACAAGAAATGATCCCTTCGGACGATTGTGTCTGTTATAAGCTTATACGGCCTTGTGTTATAAGTAATAACAGACACAAACAACCTCTGCTTGTCGAAGATTGGGCTCTGTAAATCCGTCAGATCAGTTGAATTATCAGAGCTTTCGAGGGTTTGCGGCACGAGTGGGGCAAAATTCATGATGAGGAATGCACCAAAACCGTAGGGTAAATTTCATTACACGCTTTCTCGTTTACATTTTGAAATAGGCATTCTGCGGCGTTTACGGCGTTTCCGACGCAGTGTGGGTCGTGTGGGAGGCTCGCTCACTGGTGGGGAATTTCGTGATTTTGGGGTGAATTATGATGTTTTTATCCTGTTATTTGGTAGTTATTAGTATAGGTCGAAAGCCCTTCTCATTTTGAATGACTGCCAATGAAAGTGCATGATCAGAAGTTACAGTGCAGTGCGGACAGGCCCTGCATTTTTTTCCGTTCAGCGTCTGGCCTTAGCCTTGAAAGAAATGGTCAAGTTTCAAGTAAATTCAACAGAATGTTAAAAAACTAAAATATTCATGGTGATAAGGGCAACGCTAGTGTGTGTAGCGCTAGTGACTGAGCAATGCTAGGTCAGTAATTTGCACAAAAATCTGTCATGTCAATGTTGAGATTTTTGTTTTGTAGTGTTGGGAGCAAGCTCTTCTGGCCTGAAAAAAAAATAACTTGCAGAGCTTTAGGATTATAGGATAAGGCATAGTCATTGGGCTGTGCTGGACATAACCTGTAGACTACAATGAGTTGCGGAATTGAGACTATCCCTTGCAACCAGGCTGCCGCATTGGGACAGTCTGCTCTGCCCACCTCTTGAAGTTTGAACAGTTGCCCCAGGGACTTGTATAAAGGAATTACAGGTCATGGTGTGGAGTCGTGGACCCAACCTGATCCACCAGTTGTCAGATGGGATGACCACCATCCTAGAAAGGAAGTGTGAGAGATGGGGATGGGTTTGTCTGGAGCGTGGCAAGGACAGAATTGCCCAGGCTAGGTGTTTTACATGGATGTTTGGGGCATCAATTGCTCCTTACCAGTAGTGTTTGGGCGTTTTGCAATATTTTGCAATTAAATGATAGCATTTGAAGCTAAATCAAAGCTTTCAGTCCAATGAGTGGCATTAAGGTTGAATTTGAAATATGTCCCTGCTGTATTGTAAGTTGCATTGCTAATTGATAAATTTCAAGTGTATGAGTGACAGCCCAGCATTTCATTGATCAATGCTTGTTAGCTTCACAGTGCTACAACCTATTGTCAAATGTCATCATCCAATTTCTCTGAAATAAAAAAAGTTGTAACTTTGCTTATGATGATGCTTATTTGAATCTTTGCCTACAAGATTCAAATAAGCAGTAAGCCTGTAAAAAGTAGCAATCACTTCCTAGTTCCTAATTACTATGTTCCAGGATGGAAGTCTAGCAATCACTTCCTAATTACTATGTTCCAGGATGATGTGAATAAGCTTATTTCCAAACTATTATATTTGTAATATGCAGGTCCTAGAAGTTCATCACAATTTTCATTGTTGCAGGCTTTGAAAATAGTTGCAATCATTACTTACACATTTGATTTTGAGTGTGGTAGATCCTTGCTGTGTGAGCATCCACTGGCTATAGACTCAGCCTGACCAACATCATGGAGCAAGAAGACACGTCTGTGTCCCCATTGGGTGGCATTAACATAGCTGCCAAGCCTAAGAAGAGTATACTGAAGCGCAGTGATCCAGAGCCCAGCGAGGCGCCTGGCGATGGCGCCGGCGATGACGGTTCGGACGCCAGCAAGCGGCCGGTGCCGTTCAGTCGCATCATCCCGGAGCTGTCTCGGCTGGAGGAGGAGGACGCCCGCCTGGCCAGCGCGGCGGCCATCGCCAGCGACCTGCAGAGCGTCAGCAGCGCGGCCAGCCTCAGCCCGCTCAGCTCCGACGACGAGGTGGGCGACAAGCCGCGGCCGGACCCGGGCGCAAAGCCGGCGCCGCCGAGCAGCGGCCGGCCGCGCCGCCGGCGGGGTGGCAACCGGCACATCCCGCGGCGGCCGCCGGCGCTGCCCGGCGCCGAGCCGCTCTCACCGGCCGGGAGGGAGTTCCCGCCGCGCGGCGCCCGGCCGATGAAGGGCCGCAGTCCGAGCCCCGCTCGGATGGTACGCTACAGCCCCAGCCCGGAGCGGGGACCGCCGCGCGTCCGGCCCAGCCGCACCCCGCCGCGCCGCAGTCGCGGCCGCCGCAGCCGGAGTCGCAGCCCGCGCCGGCGCAGCCGCAGCCCGGGCTGGTACCGGCGCGGCCCGAGCCCGCGGCACCGGCGCAGTCCGGGCCGCCGCCGATGGAGCCGCAGTCCATCGCCGCGCCGGCGCCGGTCCAGGAGCCGCAGCCGCTCGCCGCCCTGGGGACGCAAGTGAGTGGTGCAGCATGGAGCGGACCGACCTGAGAATGCTAATCAGCTTGCTTCGTATATATATATATATATATATATATATATATATATATATATATATATATATATATATATATATATATATATATATATATATATATATATATATATATATATATATATATATATATATATATATATATTTTTTTTTTTTTTTTTTTGCTCGTGTCCGTATGCAATTTTAAACAGATTGATATTGATTGCCTATTCCTACTGCCACACACCAATAGGTAATTGGTGTGTTATGCGCGATGATCGTCAACATTAACCGCACCATGACGTAATAATTTGTATCGTTTCCCTCCAGCGTGGAGCGCAGTCTGCTGGCCATGTCGCGGACGCCGGGGCCGCCTCCGCCGGGGTACGGGCCGCCGACCGGTCCGCCCGGCTACCCGGCCATGCCGTACCCGCCGGTAGCGGGCGCGCCGCCGCACCCGGGCTTCCCGCCGCAGCCGTTCCCGGGCATGGCCGTCCCGATGGCACCGGTGAGTTAGTCGGGGTGACTTTGTGGCATCGTGATGTGGGAAGGCGGGTTAGTGAGGGACTGAAAATTATTTAAGGTTTTTTTATTTACCGCGGAAACTTTTGTTTACCTATATTGTGTCCCTATAAATAAGGCAGTTATTATAAAACCTCTGTTGAAAATTTGACCATGTTATAATTAAGAATTTTTTTTTTATAAACCAGGCTTGAAATATCATTTTTTCCTGTCTTGCCCCGCGGATGTCCATGGCGATTGTGTCATGTGGCTCCAAACATCTCCTATGCCATGACTGTCCGCATTGTATGCCTTATTGCGCCCCTGTAACATCTTTGTGCCGCTCTCACAGGGTCCGGCGCCCCCGTTCGGCCAGCCGATGTACGCCGCTCCTGGTGTGCCCCGTCCCGTGTACGTCCAGCCCCCGGGTCAGCCTGCTCAGCAGCCGGTGCCGCAGCAGCCCACTCCGCCGGGAGCCAGGTGGGTTCGAGTGGGATCTGCGGCGGAGGCACTAGTGAGCTACGTACGGGTGTCTTATGGTTTGACTGCATTTTGAGGATGGTTGGTTTAGTTCACTCACTCCTCCAGTGACTCGATTCAGATAGCTGTTATCGAGTGCCGTGGATGACCTATATAGTCCGGGCGTCCTGGATTCGATATTGAGTGCCCACTGGGCACTGCCCATGACCTATATAGTCCGGGCGTCCTGGATTAATCTCGAGCATCATTAGACAATAGACAGCCGCTATGCTGACAGATTTTCAACCTTGTTTTACTTCATAAGATTATAGCTAGGAACCAGTAAAACGCCTTTTGGGCGAAGAACGAGCGAGCGAGATAGTGAGCCCTGCACGTGCGGAAGGGCGATCGGCCGCCGACCGTCGCCTGGATGCGAGCAGTGCGGCTCCGTGAGGTGCCCGGCCGCGCTGTGCCGTGTGTGCCGAGAGGAGGCCGACACTCCGCGGCACGTCCTGCTGCGCTGCCCGGCGCTGGCGGGACGCCGCCTGGCACGAGTGGGCACAATCCACCCTACGGTGACCGAGCTACAGGACGACGGCGTGGTGGCGGCCTTGGCCGCCGGCTTTCGAGCCCAACTGAGCCGTCTGGCTACGCCCCCCTAGGGGGGGCCGGAGGGAGCAACAACAACAACAGAGGGTACTTCCAACGGGCTTATGCAAAGCACCCTTCTAACCGGTCGCTAGCGGTGTGCCAAATTTGAACGCAATCGGCTGAGCCGTTCCTGAGATCTGGAAGCGGCATTCTGCACGTGCGCACGTGCAAACGAGGTCCAAAATGACTTTTGCACGGCACCCTACTAACCGGTCCCCAACCGTGTACCAAATTTGAGCGCAATCGGCCCAGCCGTTCTCGAGATCTGGAAACGCCCCCTGCACGTGCGCACGTGCAGTAGCATCCTAACCGCAACACATGGGAATGCATTACCTGGTGGGTGCCTACCTGTATGCCAAGTTTCAGCGAAATCGCCCCAGTAATTACCGAGTTACTGAAATGGGAACAAATTTTGCACCTCTTCTTTTTGTATTTTGCACGTGCAGTGGGGGTCACTCACATAGATCAAGAGTATCCGACCTTTGGTAGAAGGGATGCAGCTACCCTATCAAATTTACCGCAAGACAATCGCTCAAGGCGCTGCTGAGATATGGGTCTCTCAAAATCACTACCTTTGCAAAACTGCTTGAACACCCATTGACTTTTCACGTGGCACGTGCCACGGCGGCCACTGAGATGTATCAAAAGTAGTCAATTACGGTGTAGAAGGAATGGGGCTACCCAGCAAAAAAGACCGCAGGCCAATCGGTCCAGCGGTTGCTGAGATATAAGCCTCTCAAAAGCGTTACAGGCCGGGCCGGGCCGGGCCGCTCATACTGAGATTTTTCCGTTATATTGAAAGACTTCGCTTCGATCGCTGTGCTCGCTCGCTCGTAATAAATGAATGTCGATTCAGCGATAATTTTTTTCAGTGATCGAAACTAACATAACTTCTGTGTGCGTCTGACCCGTCCCTCTGTCCCAATCAGCACCCCCAGTTCATCCGGAGTCCCGGAACACATGGACTCGGACAGGCGGCAGCCGTCCGTCCCCCGCCTTCTGACTGACGTGCAGCAGGCAAGCCAGACGCCGCCGGCCGGCGCCGGGTCGCTCAAACCGGAAAAACTTCCTTCAGAGGAGGTGGAGAGCGCGGGTCAGTGCATCGGGGGTCGCCACTGAATCAATCCAGGGGAGGATAGTATATGGTGGTTCGGGTAGAATGTAGTCTAAGAGGTCTATAAGCTAAAATGGTGGCTGTCTTTACTAATATGCGGCTATTTAGAATGAGCGCCGATGAGTTTTTTTTTTTTTTTTGCAGGCCAGGCACACTGAAGCCGAAAATGCCGTCATTATCATATCTGTGTGCAGGGTTGCTGTGTTCGAATATCTGTCACAGAAGGTCTAGTAAGAGTCCGTTGCTGTTCGCGCTGCTTCATTGTCGACTCTCTCGTCTGCCCGGCGTCTGTTATTGGGTGTGTGCTTGATAGCGTCTGTCTCGGTCCCTACAGAGCTGGTTGAGGTAAAGAAGAAAAGTCCATGGATGACGCAGCAGCTGCTTGACATGAAGAATGAGCTGGAAGCCTTGAGATTCACCTCCTTTCCATATTCCGATAGGGTGAGTACTGAGTATATTCGTATCTTTTATGGAGATGATTTCGGTGCCTCTGCATAGGTCCGTCTTGTTATAACGAGTCATGAGCCTCGCGCTTCGTGCACGTGTACATGTACAACCATATGGCTTGCAGCCTCTGCATTGATTGTAACATTTTCAGGCCGCTCCCCTAGCAAAAGATGAGCTTAAAAGTTAAGTGGTGCGTCTTATCTGTGAAAAGTTGCATGGAACACTCCTTTTTCCCGTACCGTGCTGTTATTTGTTTTTGTTTTTGTTGTAAATATCAAACGGCGGCGCGCAGCGCTTCCGTTTTTGTCACACCGTATAATACATCTTTTCTGCGCATGTTATTAACATTCAGTGGTGGGCACTCGTAACTCGACCGGGACTTCGATAACTATAATTCGATAACCTCTTTCGAGGTCAGCGACTTCGATTACGATAACTCGATAACCAAAGCGGTCACTTAGATAACGCGATAACGATAACTTCAAAAAAGAAAGAAATCGAATTCGAAAGGATAAAATATTTGAAGGGAATAAAATTCTGATTAATATTTAATCCATTCGCTCATACAACACCATTATTACCCAGCTGCTTACACAAAAGGGAGGGCGAACAATGAAAATATTATTTTTCTCGTACAAACAAACAAACAAACGTACAAACAAAAACTTGAATATCTTTGGCGACAGAGCTTGTTGGGCCAAAAGACATTCCAAATAGAATTTTTCAGTGTGCAATCTACAAAACTGCTATCTCAGTTCAAACTCCATGTTGAACGTGAACTGTTCGCTTTAATACGCTCGCGTCTATTTGATGAAGTTTTCGTTATCGATTGACCGAAACCGATTGACTTCAATAACGCTACTTCGATAACGATAATCAATAACGATAAACCTGAAAAACGTTATCGTCGATAACGAATTCGTTAATCGTTATCAATGGGAGTATCGAAGTGCCCACCACTGTAAAAATTTCAGACCCTGATTCCAGGTCACGTCAAGTGACCTTACCTCAGTAAAAAAAGTTTCAATGCTCGCCATAGCTACACCGAGTGGACGATCGCTGGGTAATTTTTAGCGATTGACAAGACTGAGTTTTTTATAAATAAAATGTATATCTCAGAAATTTGATATCGGTGATCTAAGGTCAGGTTCATTTTGCGTCCCGTCAGGTTCAGTTTAAGTCAATTGGAGGAAATTGGAATGCGCCCCTTTTGGGCGAAAGCCAAGCTTAACACTTTCAAACATCGAATAACAAGTAAATGTGACACACTGAACCGGAAACTTGCCATCCATGAGTCCTCATAACCCGCGCCCTGATGGGGGGCCATTTTGGCCTCCCCCCTGTGGTTTTTCTTAAATAGCGAGAAAACAGCGGCGCCGCCAAATTTTGGGTACCTTCCCGGGCATCAATTTGACACCTTGACACAAAATTTCAAGTCACAAGTCACATTGGGTCAGGAGTTATTGAGGTCAAACTGAGGTCATGTTCTGTTCGAGTAAAAATGAGCAAAAAACATAATATCTTGAAACGCTCACCAAATCTACAGTTAACAAGCAATTTTAAAGGTCTTTATGTGGTTGTGTAGAGAAAAGACGGCGCTACAAAACTGCTATCTCGGATTTTCGAAATTTTGGGATTTTTACCCCCAAAAACCAAAAACAAATGCTTTTTTAAAGAAAAACTAAAAAAAATTCCCAAAAGTTTTTGATTTTCGAAAAAAAATCGGAATATATGTGAAAGTCCCTGCGCTCTTCGATATAAATACCAAATTTTAGGTCGATGCCTCCTTTTTTGGCCAAGTTATAGCGAAAAAAATGTTCAAAATTGATGACGTCAAATTTTTGAACTCAATTTTTAGCAATTCTAGACCACGTAGCGCAAAACGAAGACCATCATTGAACTCCCAGTGACGAGCTGCATCGAATCGATACCAATTTTGTGCAAAAATATCAACTTTGAAATTTGACCTAATTTGACCTGACCTTGACCTGACCTTCACCAAAACATAATCTCAACTGACCCCAAGGGCTGACTGTCCTACATAATCGCATTTGGCATATAAAATGGACCATAAAACATGCACCACATGATATTTTTAATTTGTGACCCTCAGTGACCTGACCTCTGTGACCTGACCTGGTATCAGTGACCTCAAATAGCAAAATATGTGTTTGAAGAACATTTCCCCATCGATGACTTTCAATTAAATGCATTTTACTCGATTTTACAACGCATTTCTTGAAATGCCTGTAAACGGTGAAAATTCTACCTTTGACCTGACCTTTGACGTGATCGGTTAGACCGAGGTCAATGAAATTGGGTCACAAGATAGTTCCCCGTTGGGGCTATCCAACGCCGTTTACCGCTTGTCGCTATGTTGCGTGGTTCTCGAGATCTTAGGGGGGTGGGGCCAAAAGGTCCCCCATCAGACCGCGTTGCTCGGCAGACCCCATCAGGGCGCGGGTCAATGCTCCTGAGGCCAGCTCAGGTCATGAAAGATCTCCAACAGTTTTGTTACGATAACTTTTGATAGGGACATGCTAGAGAGATGACATTTGACAATACCTTAAGTTCAGTTCGACAGTGCGGATCGCCTGATTACGAGCGAGCGAGCGCAGCGAGCGAGCGAGTTCATACTGAATTAAGGGAAAATCCTGAGTATGAGCGGCCGGCCGTGGGAACGCTCTTCAAAAGCTAATATCTTAGGAACGGGACATCCGATTGACAAGCGGTCTTCTTTACTGAATGTCACTTGGACGTAAAAGTTCTGTGGTGTGATGGCCACCATGCGTTCTTGCCAACCACCGCACGTGGCGCGTGGTAAAGTTGGACATTTTTTAAGAACCCCCAAAATTGCAACCTCAATAACGGCACAACGGTTGGGCCGATTGAATTGAAACTCGGTACACAGTTAGGTCTCCATCAGATAATTCATCTGCATGTGTTAACCCGCGCCCTGCTGGGGGGGGGGGGGTTTGAACACCCCCCCCCTTGTGGTTTTTCGCGAATATCTCAAAAACGGCGGCGCGGAGCGCCGCCGTTTTTGGTATACCTTATCATGCATCAATTCTACACATGTTGTGAAAATTTCAGACCAAGGTCATTCAAGGTCAGGTCACCAGGTCACTTGAAGTGACCTCACCTCATAAAAAGTTTTAATGTCTGTCATAGCTACACCGAGTGACCGATCGCTTTGAAACTTTCAGCGATTGATAAGAGTAACAGTATCTATAAAATGTATATCTCGGAATTTTGATATCGGTGACCTAAGGTCAGGTCAATTTTGCGACCTCCCCATTATAAGTCAACGGGAGAAAATTGAAATGTGCCTCTTTTGGACGAAAGACATTATGAACACTCCCAAACACTGAATTACAAGTGGTTTAGACACACTGAACATGAAAATGGTGTCCGTGACCCTTGTTTATGCCCTCAGGTCATTTTAGGTCACGAATTGTATCTAACAGTTTTTCGCAAATAACTTTTGATAGAGGCATGCTAGAGCGATGAAAACGCCTTAGATGTGTTCAGCTCGACGATACGGATCGACTGATATGCAATATGACCCTTTCCGGTCAGGTCATGACCTTGACCTGAGGTCAAATTTTCAAGTTGACCTTTCAAGGTCAAGTTATAATTCATTCGATGCGTCGTGACGAGAGGAACATGATGCCGGTAAAAGTAAGCTCGTACAAGGCTTGGGTCAAAAGTTATTGCCGAAAAACTGTTTCCGAAAAAAATCGGCTATTTTTGCAGTTTTTACCCCCTGCAGGCAAAACCGTTGACGTTAGGTCAAATCTGAGAGAATTACTCAGAAAGGGCGTTAATAGGGCTATCGAATGCGCTTTTCCGCGGCGCTGTAGCTCTATTGGTTCCCGAGTTATGCGTTGGCTTCTTGGAAATTTTCGATATTCGACCTGGAAATCGGCGAAATTTTGCCTTCAATGACCTCTGGTGACCTGACCTTTGACCTGACCAAAAAATTGACCGAGGTGATTTCGTCATTATTTTTGACGCTCTTTCGAACGCCGCCTTCGGCGTATCGCTACGTGGCCCAGGAGCCGAGTTACAAGGGGGGGGGGTGTTCAAACACCCCCCCCCCCCCAGCAGGGCGTGGAAATCCAGGACCCTATTAAGGTTATTAAAGGAAAAGGGCCACCTTCGTGAAATATGAAGATATCGCTGTTTTTCATTTTGACATTATTATTTTTCATTTTCTTTTTAAAACTGGTGCCAGAAGTGCACAATTCGCGAAAAAGTATTTAAAACTATTTAACATATTGGTACTATGTTGATACTCTCTACGACACCTACTGTATGATGGCATAGCGATGACGTCACACTCAAGCCAATCAGCGTTCAGAAGACAGACTCGTCGGATTGTGTCAGATAAGCTGATTGGTTAAAGCTGAGCTGGTTGGAGCTGATTGGTAAAAAACCAAAGCCTCGCCGCGGGTGGCTGTATTGTCGGATAAGAACGCATTCCTGGGATAAGGACGCATTCCTGGCGTATTTTCTTTTAAAATTGCCGATAACTACGAATGGAGGCCGAAATCGGCCGTAAGGAGGTAGACATTTAGGTTTTCGGACACGGGCTACAAGATGGCTATCTCAGTTTCAATCCCCATGTTAAAGGTGGCCCTTTTCCTTTAAGGTTGGGGTGCTACAGCACGTGCGCACGTGCAGGGGGCGCTCCCAGATCTCGAGAACGGCTGGGCCGATTGCGCTCAAATTTGGTACACGGTTGGGGACCAGTTAGTAGGGTGCCGTGCAAAAGTCAGTTTGGACCCGCTTGCACGTGCGCACGTGCAGAATGCCGCTTCCAGATCTCAGGAACGGCTGGGCCGATTGCGTTCAAATTTGGCACACCGCTAGCGACCGGCTAGAAGGGTGCTTTGCACAAGCCCGTTGGAAGTACCCTCTCGCCCTTGCGCACGTGCAGGGCTCACTGTCTCGCTCGCTCGTTCTTCGCCCAAAAGGCGTTTTATTGGTATATGGACGTGACCTTTTCCGGTCAGGTCATGACCTTGACCTGAGGTCAAATTTTCAAAATGACTTTCCAATGTCAAATTATAATTCATTCGACGCGTCTCGATGAGAGGAACACGCTGTTGGCAGAAGCAATGTTGTGATTTTCTCGAGTCAAAAGCTATTGCAGAAAAAAATAAACATTTTTCGTAACAACGGCTATTAAAAGTTAAAGCTGTTGCCCTCAAGAATAAACTGTTCATCCGGGGTCAAATCTGGGGGATAACTTGGGAAAAGGCGTTATTAGAGCTATCGAATGCGATTTACTGCGGTGCCGTTGCTTTATCTGTTCCAGAGTTATGCACCGAATTGTCAAATTGTTGAAGTAGGCAAAATTTGACCTTTGATGGCCTTTGTTGGCCTAAGTTTTGTCCTGACCATAAAAAATAATGATGTGTTGTCTTCATTATTTATGACGCCCTCTCGAATGCTTACCGCGTGTCGCTACGTGGCCGAGGAGCCGAGTTAGACGGGAGGGAGCATGAGAGTCCCCTCCCTCCCCCCTCCCCAGCACTGCATGGAAAACTCGCAATCACCGGCTTGGAACGGGTTAAAAAGGGCTGAATATGCAGATGACAACACTAGTGAGCGGGAAAAGCGGAGTGATGTTAAAACTGTAGACACATATTGTGCACTGGTTTTTGGTTTGATGTAATCTCCTCGTGTTGCAGTTTCGGAAAGCCAGAGAATATCAGCAACTGTTGAATGAAGCTAGAGCAAAGCTGGGATTTGCGGAGACTAAACTGAAGTTAACTGGTAAGTGGAATGCTAACAGATCACGCTGTTGCAGCGTTGCTCAGAAATGTATACCAGATGTCACCTGATGCGACCGAGTCCAGCGTGCTGCATTTATTCCATTGTCCCTTAAGATCATCAAAGCTTTGCTTTTTCACACTTCCCAACTAAGTGACGATGCGAATCAACGTAGCACCAAGATGGCGTAGGTACTGTCTGAGAAACACCATGCATGACTATGTGTCGAACTTTTGCTAATATCCGTGTCGAATGTCGGACTTGGGTTAATGTCCCCGTGATCCGAATGAACCGAGGGCTGTTCACGGGCCCTGCGTGCGGTCGGACCGTACACAGGCTGTAAGCTCTGCCCACTGCGTCCCTACGTCATCTTTCCGTCACCGCAAACAGCGACCGCTGTGGCCGGTCGGGGCTGGCCACAGCGGACCGTCCACCGCACGCAGCCGTTACATCAGAGCCGCCTACCCATCCCCTACCCCTACGCCTGCTGGACACACCGCACACACCGCACTCAGCAGTTTGCGGTGCTCGTGAACACCCCTCAGGTCAGCTGATCTCCCTGGGAATGACGTCAGGGTAGGTGATGAGTGATTACTTTGTCGCCTGTCTGCCGGACAGGTGTCGGCGGTCTGTGTCTGAAATGGACAGATAACGGCCAGGACATGGCGAGTCCCGACTGTCTGTCTGAACTGGACCGGACCGGGGATGACGTTATGCGTGGGCTTTATGTTACAGCCGACGGTCAGGTGATCACCCTTTCGCCCGGCACCCTGACCCGTCTGAAGGCCAAACAGGATGAGTTTTTGGCACAGCGTGACCGGCTGGCCGGCGAACTTCACCAGCTCAAAATGGAGCAGAAGCAGCATGGCGACAACAATGTCGTCATGCGCAACGGAAAACCCGTCAACAACTGGGAGCTGCACCAAAATCTCAAGAAGCAGGTGGGTTTCGTCAGGGTTTCAGCCACATACTACCTGAAGGATTTCTGGATACGGTGGTTTACAATTTGTTTTGTGGTCTTACCGGATGTATTTTTGAGCGTCTGTCACAAGTGTTTGCACGACTGGCATGAGTGATATAAGGCGTGATTTAATCGGTATGTAATTGGATTTGTACGCTTCGGTTACCGGACTTGCGACGGACATCGAGGTAAAACGCCCGTAGATCCTACACAGCGAACAATTAGAGCTGATTTGTCTTTCTACGCAATCTCAGGGGGAGCTGCTGAAGGCACTGGAGCCCGTGTCAGGTATACTGGCCCAGCTGAGGCAGTTACTCGACCCCTTCTGTGCCAAACTGGAGAAAGGGATCATTACTGACGTCGGCCAGGCGTTAGTGAAGCAGGCCCAGGACGAAGCGGAGGACGACGATGCCGCTAGCACTCCTACGCCTACCGCTGCCACGTCCAAGTCTGAGGTACGTGACGGATAGTGATGGCTTCGCGCTACTTGCCAACTGATCTAGCTACTGCCGCAAGTGATACATTACATTGAAACGGACATTTATTACGCCAGCCAAAACTTGCTGTCGTCTAAAGCTGAACCATCCGTTCATTGATCGATGTGTTTTATGAGTGCTCAGCTAGTGCTGGGGCTTAAGACTGCATCCAATGTCGTTGTGATATCTGCTTTTATTTCTCACTGTCCGGCTGTGCGTCTCTCTCGTTACACCGCTCTAATCATCTCCCTTCCGTCGCCAGGTGTCCTACCTGCTGCTGGGCGACGAGACGCTGGCGGCCGTCCAGGTGTACATCCGCGAGCAGGAGTCTCGCGCCTCGTTCGGCTCGGAGCTGCCGCCCGGCCGGATCCGACTGGTCTCTCGGCCGGACGTGGAGTTCAGCTCGGTTGAGTTCCGCCACTGGGTGCGCGCCGCGGTGCGACAGTCAGGCGCCGGCACCCTGGTGCTGCTGGCCGGCGCTGGCTGTCTGGAGTCGGGCCACACGGCAGGCGGGTGGTCGTTCTCGCGGGCCGTGGCGCCGCTGCTGCCGCTGCTGAGGGACCTGCGCGCTGACGGCCTGACGCGCGTCGTGGTGGTGGGTTTGCCGGTGAAGCTGGGAGCCGATAAGGACGACCGCGCCGCCCAGTTTAACGCGGCGCTCCAGGAGCAGCTGGAGAACGCGGGGCCGCACGTGCCGCGGGTCATCTACACGCCGGTCATGGGCGGTCCCAAGGACGGGTTTGGGGAACAGACCGAGGGCGGCCTCACGCTCGATCTGTACGACACACTGCGACTGGTCATCGAAAAGTGCGAACAGAAGGTGAGGAGAGACTGCACTGTCCCGAAACATGACGGTTAGCCCGCGTTGTGAATGGTATCAAACGCTCTGCCTCCACTTACGTTCTAGGTTGGCTGTATAAAGTATCCATATTGTGCTCCCATAAGCAGCAAGGTTTCCCTTCCCTCTGTATTCAAGTCTTCCGCTTCGGGTATGTTATCACTACATTTTTTTTTTTTTGTATCACTACACTGCGGTGGCATGTCTCGGACGTTGCTGGCCACCCGTTCTGAACGTATGCCTGTGTCACCCCGCCAGCTGCCGAAGCCGGTCCGGCTGCCCTCCACGGCCGACTCGAGTGACGCCAACGAGCTGGACTCGCTGAAGGACGCCTCAGAGAAGCTGCAGGACCTGCTGGACGGTCTGCGCGGGCGGCTGGCAGGAGACGAGGCGGCCGGACTCGGCGCCGTAGCCGCGCTCATCACCAAGCTGAAGGACCGGCCGATCGGCGCTGACCAGATGCCAAAGGAGGCGGAGGAGCCGGTACGGCCGTCTGGGAGATACTGATAATCCCCGCAGTCCGGGCGTCCGAAACCCGAGCGGTGTTCGGGCGTCATTTTTATCAGTATGCTGCCATGTTACTACTGACATTTCTGGACATCTCATTGATGAAATTCACGTAGGGTGTGCGGTACACTAACGAGAGGTCGAGAAAGTGTCCAGGGAGTAACTTCAATATAAGATAAGACCACCATAATGCTGATAAAAAGGACAGCCAAACAGCGCTCCAAACTACCAGGCCTGGAGGGACAGAATAGCGTGGTTTTAGTAGAGGGCTGGGGTTACGCACAGTGGTGCGAAAAAGGATGTTGCAGCAAGCTTGTCGGATACTAGCAGGTTGTCCCATTATCTTTGATACGGTCCAGTGGTGACGTGCGCTATACCTTTTCTCAGTGGGCAATCTAGTATGAGGGTGCTACCGGAAGTGCGAAGGGACGTCGAAGGCGTAGGGCGCACCGCACATCATAAGCAATGTCATCTATTGTTGCCGAGTGCCGACTCTCAAACACTTTGTGCTTCTTTTTTATCATCCTTACTGCTTACTAAACCACGTTGCAATCTCGCGCACAGGTGAACCTGAACGCCGAGGATCCGAGTGTGTTTTTCCGCGACCCTGCCGACCACGTCTGTCTGCACTGCACGAAGATATTCCTCAACGCCAAAACCTACCTGGAGCACCTCAAGTCGGAGGAGCACAGAAAACAGTACCTGGTCAGTCATGTTTGGGAACGGCGACTTGTCACCGTATTATCGGGTCTAGATTTGGAAGAAATTGCGCTTGAGAAAGCTTCGTTTTTTTTTTAAATCGATGAACTATTTGATACGAACAAGGTGTGATGGTCAAATTGGAGCTGAACGACAGAAAATTTGATTTTCACAAATTCGAGAGCCCACCTTTACATGACTCATAATAAGTCGTCTTTCGGTGTCAAAGTAAAAAAGAAAGTCTGTCGAAGAAGCATCGAAGCTTGGACATGTCTAGCTTGGCTACATTTTACATTTGCATTAGTATTTTCGTGTCACTGACTTATTATATTGGTTACCAGACCGCTCTACAAAACGTTCCTGAAACCCCATGGCGGAAAGACATTCCTCCCATTGAGAAGAAAAAGAAGAATGCCGAATCGAAACCTATCAAAGGCAAGTATTTGCCCTACAGTCAGTCCTTTGTTTATTCATTAGCTGTTTCAAAATATGTGAATTACTGAGCAACCAAACGTTACAACATAAGCGATTTCGTCATCAGTGTTGATCGTACCATTCGTATAGGCGTCCAAAGCTTCAGTTGTTGCTAAGTCATCGAGTTATCGAGTTGTGCATTCGAGCACCCGCGGGAGCGATATGTTCGATTGTAACCCTGAACAACCCCTGCGCGTCTGGTTCGATATGTATCACCGAAATTACTCCCCATTCCGCGACTACGGCCGCTGACTGATCAAACGTCCGACCGCCTGATTCCGTCCCGATCGCTGACCGATCGCTGAATACCTCTGACCAATCGCTGACCGCTGACCAATCGCTGATCGCTGACCGCTGAATCCCTCTGACCAATCGCTGACCGCTGACCGAGCGGACGTCCGGCCGCCTGATTCCGTCCCGATCGACTCATTTGCGCTGATTGGGGTTCTGATTGCGTGGCCGCAGGACTGGATATGTTCATCCGTGTCGAGTGCTGGTACTGCAAGGTTTGTGAGATGTTCGTGGGTGACCTCCGCTGCGCCTCGTCCCATCTCAAGTCCCGCAGACACAACGCCAAGTATGATGTAAGTGTGCGATGTCTATCACCTTGGCAGGGTGATATGATATCTTTATTGTACATATTAGAACTTAATACATTTACGAAGCAGTGTCATAAAGACGTGCAGATATGCACACAATGTTGATTGTAATTCAGATCGTAAATTATTTTTTTCAGACATTTCTTATTACCTATGTAATTTTTTTTACTACTACTGATGATTGTCACTAGCATCGTTCCAGAAGTTGGTTCTGATTTGCGGTGAGTCTCTCGGTGAAAGGGTCGTACAGAGGTGCCCCACGGATCAGCCCGCGCCTGTTGCTCTCTGACCGGTCGGACGGTGTGCCGTGCCGCCACTCTGTCCCTCGCTCGGCAGGAGTACCTGGAGAACAACCCGAGCTACCACGCTGTGGTGGGCGAGACGCGCAGCCGGCTCCTGGTCCGGTGTGCCGAGGAACAGGAGCAGCGCATCCGCCAGCGGCGCGAGGAGGAGGCACAGAAGCGCGGCGACCGGCTCAACGAGCGGATGCGCCGCCAGAGCGAGGGCGCCGTGCAGGACGTGACTGACGAGGTGGGCGCCGCTGCCGGTGCCGCGGTGGCCGTCACACCGCCGGCCGTCACCAAGAAGGCCGGCATCAAGCTGAACCTGCTGACCTCGTCGGCACCAGCGCCCGACGAGATGGGCCAGCTGAAGCGGAAGGTGCAGGCCAACCTGGCCGCCGAACAGGAGTCCAAGAAGGCGAAGGTGGAGACGGCCGAGAAGGAGGTCAAACAGGCGGCGACCAAGAAGGAGAAAGAGGCTGAGGCGCGGAAGGGGAAGGTTGAGAAGGCGCCCGAGGGTCCGGTGCCGACGGTCAGTAACCTGCCAGAGGCGGAGGCGGCCGCAGCGGCCAAGGTGAAGATCACCCTGCCCGAGAAACTGTCCCAGAAGCCGGCGGCCGGCGCCGCTGCCGTAAAAAAGAAGGCCGTCCCCATCGTCGGCAAGCTGCCAAAGCTGCGTGTCAAGAAGCCGGAGCCCGCGAAGCCGGCTGCCGAGCCGCCGCAGCCTCCCGGCCAGCTGTCCAAGTCTGAGCTGGCCACTCTGGAGCTGGCCAACAGAAAAGAGGTCCTGGCGACCATCCCTCGGCCGGCCTGTCCGCCACCGGGTACTACCCCCGCCCCCGCCGCCGCCCCTGCCCCCACCCCCACCGCTCCCGCTGTTCTGCTCGCGCCGCCGCAGACGGAAGCCATCAGCGACGACGAGAACCCGGTATCCGATGTGCTCGACCTGCTGGACATCGACCTGCCGGACGCCGACGAACGCGCCGACGCCGACGAGCTGAAGATGCTGGGCATCTGTGACGAGGATGTGGCAGCGCAGCAGCTGCCGGCCACCCGACCGCCGCCCTAAGGTGAGATATCCGCCGCTTGGGCGACGGGAGACGAGGGGGCAGAAGGTGGGGCTCAGGTAGGACAGCTGACCTAAGGTGATAGCTGAGGCGACGGGAGACTGCTGCTGGGGTGGGGTCCAGGTAGGTTGGCTGACTTGGTGGGAGCTGGGGCGACGGCAGACTGCTGTGAGAGGGCCGGGCTCAGGTAGGACGGCTGCCCTGGAGAGCAGCTCAAGGACTGGTGTTCGGTCATTAGGCCAGGTCAGTAAGGTAGGACTTCCACCCCGGATGGGGCTTAGGTGAGTTCATAAACCACCCGGGCTAAGGTGGTATGCGGCAGTTCTGACTTCTGAGCTCAGGCGACTGGAATTAGTCTGCTGCGGTGAGGTAAGAGGTAATGGTGCAGACCTGCTAGCCTCCACTCAGAGGTAATGTATAAATGAGTGTGCTGTCAGGTGCGCGGCATGAGGCTGTGATGTAGTGATAATAAATCAACTCGGGTCTGACCGCTGCCTTCAGGTAATGGTTTTAATGGTTATAAGTAAGCGCTTCTTAGTCTCTGCTGTGTCACACGCACATATATCATATCAGTCATCTGCATTGCAAACACCATTTTAGGACCGGGTTGTGAGTTCGGGAATCAGGTGGTCCTATCGGAATTGGTTTCCACAATAGTATGGGAAGGTATAGTCCCTGGACTTGTGGTCTAAATAAGTGGGTAAGCAACATAGTTGGTACATTTATGTTTTATTTTAGGCTGAAAAGGGACATTCTATCGAAGTAACGTAGGTTTTACGTTTCTTTGGAATACGAAACTTACCTAAGATTGATGATAACTAAAAGCGAGAGTCGTATTGAATTGAAAGTCGTATTGAAAGTCAAAACGCTTTGTCGTATTGAATAAATTTGTTCAATTATCGCAGTTGTGTAGTGCATTACACTATCAATACAATCATTCAACGTGTCCGTTGTTTTCTCGATAGTACCGCAGGTGATACACGTATTTCCCTACCAGTGGCACATGTCTCCCCTCAGAGCAGCCGAGGAGAATGGAGGGGCAGGGCTGCGCCCAGCTGGTAATCACGCCCACACGAGCTTTGGCATCACCGGGCGACCTTTTCGGCGCCATTGTTTTATCCATTTTCTCCCGACCGGCCACATAATACACCTCAGCCCATTCAGCTATTCATCCCATTCATTTACTGTCATTCATTGCTCGACATAAATCGGCGGCAGTGAATGCGTGGATGCTCTGTGGATTTCCAGGCCCATTTTGACATTAAAGTTACGTGGAGCTAAACGGGTTAAAATGTTTTGAGGTGTCTTCATTATTGAGGAATCGTTTAAATAAAGAAAAGCAGTTTAGGTGGGTTGTCCCTAAAATTGAAGAGGTGATTTTAATAGGGTACCATGGTTTCATATCCTTTGAGATCACCGGTCTTAGGTTCATTGCTGCTGTATTGTGTTCAGGCGTTACGTGTGCACTGTGCAGATAGTTGTCCCTTCTCAGGCACTGGATCTTGTATTTTGTTCGGACAGTAAGCCTATAATATATTTGATGTCAGTGGGCTTACCGTCCAAAATATTATTCTTGTATCTGTTCTGAGTGACATTGCAATGATGCTATTTTGATAATGCAATGTTTGATCGCATTGTTATGTTATTTTTTCTCCTTCCGCTGATCCGGTGCTAACTGCGCCCGCGGAGTAGAACAGCACATGTTCTTCACAATGTTCGTTCTGTGACTTGTCAGTGTTCTGTTAACCTGCGTGATGTTTTGCTTTGACTGGTATGCATTTTCAGGTTTATGTCAATCGTTATATGTAATATTATTTGGGACACAATACATAGTGACAATGATCTAAAAAAATATATAAATTGGTTGCTTTAGATAAATGTAATGACAATATTTGAAATCAGCTCATTTTCATCTCACAAAGGATCGTTGTATTAAGACGACACCTTCTAACAATTATTTTGTTAAGGCGTTCTTGTGAAAAAATATGCCAAACAATAATGAAGTATTGCTATGTGCAGCGATTTTATTTGAGTTGGCCATCTTTTATGATAAGTTTCAAAACCAAAACTAAATCCGCCATTCCCATATGGCGGGTCTTTATTTTTGGACCTCCGTGCCTTTCTCCAGGCAGGGAGGTGACGCCGCCTGAACGATGTCAGACGATGCGGTGCGGCGGTCTGGCAGCAACGGCCGACCTCTGACCGCAGTGGTGTTTTGGCAATCGCGCTCAGGTTCCGCGGCAGGCGGGACGCCATCTTCTGTCGGCCTGCTCTGCTCTGGCCGGAGCACCGCGCCTTGAGCGTCCATCTTCTTCATATTCTTCGGCACCGGCAGCGAGGGTGCGCGGATCGCGCCGTGTGGGTCCGGCACTTTGGAGACCTCGCAGCTCGCTCGGGAGTGGCGAGAATCGACGCCACTCAGAAGTCATTGGAGGGACGCGCTGTGACTTGAGACTCGATCAGGACATGATAAACGCAGGGAATGGTGCTGCCAGCGGCTCAGTTGGGAGGCGACTGCGCCCAATCGCTGACCTCGGATGTGCAGTGGCTGTGCTGAGCTGTGTGCCGCGGCCGCGCTGGGACGGAAGACTGGCATATGCCACTGGTGAAAGCAGTGGCAGTGGAGCCATTTTAGTCTCATCTGAGCAGTGGTTTACCCCGGCGGTGCGGCCTCTATCGCGGGCCACTTCCGTAGGCACACACCGCGGGCCGTTTCCAAACAGTGCTGCAGTGAGACCGTCAGTGTAAATAGCTTGGTCGGCGGCCGGGCGTTCCTACCCCACAGTGCGGCTAGTGACTGCGGGAAGTGAGTGTTCTGGTGCGGGGTCTGCAGAAACCCCGTGGACGACACGGCCTAGTGAACGTCGCGACACTGCAGGTGTGCTCGAGCGGTCGAGACCCGCGTGACGACCTCCTCTATCATTGTCGCGAGGTGCGGTGTTTGTGACAAACTGGTGTGCCCCGCTAGCCCTCGATACAGCCATGAGCGGCGCTGCCTGGTCGGGCCAGCCGCCTCCGGCCTCCGAGGGTGGTGGTTATGCTCAGCAGTTAGCACGAATTGTCGCACTGTACGGCCCGCCATGGAATACATGTCACGGTTTCAGATTTGTCAGTCTTTTCGGTGTTGTGTGCACACCTTTTCACGCTGGTTGTATCCAGCGGCTGGACAGGTCGTGAGCACCTGCATGAAATGAAACTGTCACCAAGTGTGGCACAATGATGAAATGTCATTCTGTCGCGTTCATTATCGGGTTGAATTGGACACTGCCTAGAGACGATTTCATGTAAAAATACAGTCTGGCAATACACCTTTTCAGAATCACGGAATCGCGGTATCTTTTTGTGTCGAGAGTGTGATTTCTGTGAAAGTCGAGCGATATTACCCACCTGCTGGCTGCTTCTGCAACGTCCTGAAACCATTTTGGCAAATGTGCTTGTTTTCGTCGAATCGCTTATTCTCGACTGCGCTGTGGATGCGTATAAATACATTTTGTGTGGCAAAACTCTGTTTGGCTGCTGAAGCACGGTTGAGCGGACTCCATGGCTATTCTTATTTTAATATTCGCCCATTTTCACATCGGCTAACGTATAGCCGATTTGTTTGACCCTTGATCGAGCTGAAGTCTTAGGTCGTTGGTTGACCTTCTAGGTTTCCATAGTTCTTATCTCTTATACGTATCGCTAAGCGTATTCTTTGGCGTGCCTGGCTGTCATTCAAAAGTAAACACGTTGGCCCCTTTTTCGGCGCCCGCTCTAAATAGCCTTCCTAATGTGAGGAAAATATTGTCCTTGACTACAGCTTCGGCGGCATCTTTCGTTCTCCCCAACGGATAAAGTCAAAGTCCTCCCCAGCCCCTGGTGAAAACTGACACAGATCGTCACATGTCGTATCTGCCCCGTTTTTCGAGTTCTTTGAACAAGACAGTTTAGCACCAGCTCGACAGAAGAACTCTGAACATCGTCGCGAGGAAATGAAGCGTTTTTGTGGGGGACCGAAATGAAGAGACCGTCGCGACTCGCGACACCTTGTGAACGGGACGGTTCAGATGGATAATAAATAACGTCGCGTTGCCGGAGAGGACAGGGCGGTGCGGTCGATAGTCCATCAGAGGCCGGCGTCCATCGGCTCTGCGCTACCGATCGCCGCTCTGCGGTCGCCGCGTCGCCGGTCAGATTATAAAGCGCCGGTCGAGCGGATGAGACTGGGGACCGGGCGAGCGTTCCAATTCGGGCTATCGGGTGAGGGCGGCAGTCAGCCGGACCGCGAGGGCATGGAACAATAGGCGCCGTATGGCAGCGGACGATCGCAATCCGGCAGCGCTGCATATTCGTTGCCCGGTGATATCCGATTCGGGTGGTTTTGCGTAAATTTAGCGGTAGAAGTTGGGGCGGAAGCAAGAAGAGGCTTGACTCGGGCCTATAACAACGGGGTAGCGTAACTAAAGCGATGCAGTGACCCATGTGGATGGAACATCGCGATTTGCGATAATTCAGCTAGAGCTGTCCGCCGAGTGGTGGCTAGTTTTCCATCTCGCTGGCTCTTCTGGACTTGTCAGTCAAGTTACCCGAACTTTGAACTTTATTTTGCATTGAGTTAAACGCACAATGTAAGTCTAAATTCGAGAATCGAATGCTACGTAACTTTTTATATATGGAGCTGAAGAGTCGAGAGACCGTATCTAAATTAAATCGATATTTGCATTTTGCGAATTTTTGGACGGCATATTTTTAAGCGACTTCACTCTCGCTGTCCATTGCATATCACTCCTAACTCCATGCATCATGAATGCATCTGTACTTACGTCTCTGACCCAAATGCCAGAGCAGCAGAGTACCAGCGCCTGCCGTACGACCTAACCAGCGCTTCAGATAGCAGTTCGGATCACTTTCGATCAGCACACAGGATGGAGGACAGGACAACACAGCTCACTACCGGACTGGAAATTGAAGAGAAGCTCAGAAGACATAATAGAGGAAAAGGCTAGAAGCGAAGCGAAGACCGTGTCCGTCCGACCCCGGCGGCGCCGTCCGGCCCACCAATGTTGTCTGAGGTCGCCGTATCTCCCCCTCTCCCCGTCTTCCGGCGCGTGCGTGCTGGCCGCAGCGGCGGGACGCGGTACGACCGGCGGTCAGTCGGTGCCATGCCGCGGCCGGGTCCTCTCAGCAGGCTGCTGCCGCTGCTGGCGGTGGCCGCAGCTGCTGCGACAGGGGACAGGGGGATACCCGACCCTCCTCTCGGTGAGTGGGGGCGCCGCCCAAGGCCTTATATGCCGCGCCGCCACTGGCGGATCCAGCGGCGCGTGCCGCTGTGAAGGAGATTACCACGGAAAGTTATTCAATAATCGACAGCAAATAAAAAAGGCATGCTGAGAGCGGTCGGACAGTCGACTGCCAGCTGATCAGGACGTCAGACAAAACGTCTGTTATGTTCGGCAGTTTTTTTGAGGGGAGGGGCGGAGACGTTGAACAGGCAGCTTGACCTCCGGATCGCATGGCACATTATCATATCCCTCCGTACCGTGAAACTGTCAGTGCCGGTGGTTGCATGATGATGCGATGTGTTTGGGCGAGATTCATGTCTTGTGTCCATTTTTCGTATGAGCTCGTTTCATTTATTGGCACTAAGTATCTGATGCGAGTGGTGCAATGACTACCATAGCACCATTAGCACCCGCACTCTGATCGGTAGGTCGGTCGGACAACGAGCATAGGGAGCATGTGCCAGTCGAGTCGCTCGATTCGGGGCTGCCCTTCCCACACCCCCTCCATCGCTGACGGGCCCATCAGTCTGCCGAGTCACGTGATCGGCGCCTGTCTCCGCAGACAGTGCAGGGAGCCGGGATAGACGGAGACCGATACTGGTGTCCGTCTGGGCGGAAACGGCGCTCCTACTGAGACAGCGGCGGCGGCTCAGTGAAGACGCATTGTCACGCAAACAACGTCTGTACGTTAGCAGGGATTCTAAACCAAGGTGGCCTGTTCCTCGGGACGGGATCAGCTGCGACGGGGCCCACCAACCGGCGGGCTTATGATGCATAATTTCAATGTATTCAGTCTTCCCTAATCCCTATATCCTATGGCTGTTCAGTGATCTTGTACCTATTGAAAGAGCCTATTCTAGCAAAACAAATGACTTGTGCACCTGCAATAGGTAAGTCTAGCGAATAATCCTATAAGTTGTTACCGAAACGGTATTATGAACGGAATTGTGAAAATCGGAAAGATTTGTGCTTTATAGGGGAGAGTGGGGCAAAGCGGCCACCCGGGGCAAAGCGGCCACCCATCGTTTTAGCCCTTCATAGCTGGCGTCAGTTCCAATTTATGGTTTCCAATTATACTTCTCTCCACGGTCGTTCGAATGAGCCAGACCGGGGTTTCAGGCCAATCACCATTGTTCTATGAAACACGGAAAAGCATTTCTTGCCAGGTTATCAACTATGTTTACAATTTTTAAATGTTATGTTATTCCATAACCGTTTGGAATTTTTATAAGCGTTCTTGTCCATGCATTGCATGGTTATCGTACATGTATTCTACCAATTTTAATGTTTTTTACCCCACTAATAGCTAAGCTGGAATATTTTTGTCTCGGACGGTATGCGCGGGGCAAAGTGGCCGGGGCAAAGTGGCCACCCCCCAATTGGCCATAGGTTGCTTCCATCTGGATAAAAAACATTATTTGTATTCAAATGTGTCGTCATGCATTCATCTTGGCCACTTTTCAGTTGCATGAGTTACCAAATAATGCAATTAAATGTTTATTTTCATGAAAACCCTTTCTTTGTTTACCTACAGGTGGAAGATGATAAAGTAAACATCCACCCTCGCTTAACCTTGTCACCATCAAATACCCTAGTCGTACACGAGGCAACTATTTTGTTTCTCATATCGGGGCTTGAGAAGACGCTGGTGGCCGCTTTGCCCCAGGGTATGGGGCAAAGTGGCCAATATGCATAGGTTTAAAGTTTTGTTAATATCTTTCATATGTGAACGCCTTTGGAAATGAAACGCAGTTGAACTAAAAGGCAACTTAATAGGGATCACATTGGTATAGAAAGAATCTTTCCAAGTTTAAAAATCAAGCGTTGGCATCGTGAGAAGCGTTAGGGTGGCCGCTTTGCCCCACTCTCCCCTACTCTACCGCCAAAATGCTCAACTACAATGATGTATGTATATTCTGTATATAAATGTATATTCTACTTGCGTCTCTCCCATGAGGGTCGCCAAGTGCCACGCTTGTGTGGACCGGGCGGGCGTTCGCCAGGCTGCGCGGCACAGCATACCAGTCCAGGCGCGTACTACCACTGCCATCTAGCGGGAGCGGTATAAGCTTGCTGCTGTGCGGCACAGCATACCAGTCCAGGCGTTCACCCCCACTGCCATCTAGCGGGAGCGATATAAGCTTACTGCTGTGCGGCACAACATACCAGTCCAGGCGTTCACCCCCACTGCCATCTAGCGGGAGCGATATAAGCTTACTGCTGTGCGGCACAACATACCAGTCCAGGCGTTCACCCCCACTGCCATCTAGCGGGAGCGAATTAAGCTTACTGCTGTGCGGCACAGCCGGCACAACATACCAGTCCAGGCGTTCACCCCCACTGCCATCTAGCGGGAGCGATATAGGCTTACTGCTGTGCGGCACAGCATACCAGTCCAGGCGCTTATCACCGCTGCCATCTAGCGGGAGCGGTATAAGCTTACTGCTGTGCGGCACAGCATACCAGTCCAGGCGCTTATCACCGCTGCCATCTAGCGGGAGCGGTATAAGCTTGCTGCTATGCGGTACAGCATATCAGTCCAGGCGCATAATAGCCCTGCCATCTAGCGGGAGCGGTATAAGCTCGCGGTAGTACGGCACAGCATACCAGTCCAGGCGCTTATCACCGCCGCCATCTAGCGGGAGCGGTATAAGCTTGCTGCTATGCGGCACAGCATATCAGTCCAGGCGCATACTAGCCCTGCCATCTAGCGGGAGTGGTATAAGCTCGCGGTAGTACGGCACAGCATACCGGTCCAGGCGCTTACTACCACTGCCATCTAGCGAGAGCGGCAAAACCTTGCGGCTGTGTGGTACAGCATACCAGTCCGGGGCCGGGCGTTTATAATTATGCCATATAGCGGACGCGGCGACGCGCAGGCTGTCCGACTAAAGGCTGGGCGCATAGTGCGCACGACCATCGTCCGTCCTCGCCATCCCCAGGACAAACCTATCAACGTCCCCCTAACGCTCCCTCTCTGGGCTGGTGGTCACCCCACCTGGCAACCGGTGGATGAGGTCGGGTCCCACCGGACGGTCTCGCCTCCGCGGCTCACGGTCAGTGTCCCGCACAGCTCAATGTCTACGCCGTATCCTATCATTCCTACATCCCTGCTCGTTTGCTCTGCAATGGACCGAAAAAGCTTGCTCCCAACAAAACAAACAATGTGTGCAACTGCAATGTGCACTACGCAAGGCAACGGGGACGGGCTCTACGTCATTTTTTATGATAATCACCTTAGTGGCTAATAAGTTATACCTTTTACGAAAAAGTTCAGTTAGTACATCCTTGGCATACTCGGATAAAATGCCCAGACAAAAAAAAAAACTCAAACCGTCCTACGACGTTTGACCTGATGGACAAGAACGAGGGGGCTCCTGTAACTCGGGCTTCTCGCCATCACTGATCAACTCCACGGAAAGCCAATTACCTGTATCTAATAGGCATAGCGGTACGTAATTATCTTATTTCAAGATCTTTGGCGCAAGGAAATTAGCCTTCTAATTTAGCGGAAAATTAGCGATACCGACCTTCCTTGATGTGGATTAGATTTGAAGAATGAACAGTGAACAGGCCTTTCGTGGTTTGCGCCACTGAAGCTCAATCTTCAGTCGGTTTCCTGTTAATGATAGCGTTAGAGAGACGAATTTTCAAGACCAAGGTCGTTTTGTAGTCCTTCAGCTGGATAAGGAACGGAAAATGAAATTGACAAAAACGGTTTTTCGTACTGTTATCCATGTGGCGTAACATGCATTGTGCACCGTCTTCGGCATTATTCTGATATGTGTCAACACATATGAAGACGCGGTCCGTTCAATCTACTGAGAACGCAGAAATGCTTGCACAATGCACAGTGCACACATTGTATTTTTGAAACAACCTCCCTGCTTCAGCGGTTAGCGTCGACCGCAATCTCCCAGACCGCTCAGTTTCCCGCATCCGACGGCGGCGTCGGCGACGATTGCGGCTCCGACGTTCTTACTCCTAACTGCGGCGTATTACTGTCCCATCCTCGCGAAATCCCCGTAACGAGCCGGGCTCCCGTGTAAAAATCCCTAGGTCCTGAGGTGGCACCGCCCGCAGCGTAACGATGATCGTCCCGGCTTCACGGTAATTGTGCTCTGTCGGTTTCGGGCCGCGCGATCGTTGGAGGACTTTCACAGTGAAAGGGTCAGGGACGATGGACAGGTTGCTACCCATTACCCAATGCCCATGGGCATGATTTGATTTTCCTAACCACACTGGAGAAAAGGATCGACAGGCTGTAATCTGATTGTGTAAGATTGTCATAAATAATTTCTGTTGACTTAGCAGTGGCAATGCCGAACAATATGAAATGTCCCTGATCATAATAGTCATTCATCTACATACATCACTCGAAACACAAGCACTTCAGGTGGATAACTGCCAGCAGGCCAGTGCGTCTTTATTCCAACCCCAGACCAGAGGTTATATCAAAACCGATTACCGCTTTCTACGTAAGTACAACAAAATAGGATCCATTATGCATACAAATATCACTTAAGCATAACCACAAAGCGTACCCACTGAGTAAGATTATGGCAACAACGGCACCAAAATAGTTATCAACCATGCCCTCCGAAGGCGTGATAACGAAACGCAAAAGCGCATCCCCCGCAGTGCAACTGCAAGCGCCTCATTATGTACCGTTTGATTAACTACACACCCATCAAGGCCCCATATCACTCGCTCTTCTTGCTCTCATCCCTCTTGCGCATGCAGTCTCTGACGATGCCGTCCCAGGACCTGTGGAAGAAGGCGACGACCAGCCTGAAGACGGGCATCAGCAGCACTTCGCGCGCCAGCTGGCCGGCCGAGCCCACGGGGCCCATGCCGAGGCCGACAGTCGTCATCAGCATGCCCTCAGTGCCCACCGTGCTGTTGATGGTGCCGGCCATGACGTCGTCCAGCAGCTTCTGGGCCACCTTCTCGGGCGGGAAGAGGCCGGCGGTCTCGCAGATGAGCCGCGTCTCCTCTGGCTTGGTGCGGTTCTCCTGCTCGAAGCCGGGTGTGTCCGTGTCGGGCGGGTAGCACAGCGTCACGCCCACGCCGTATGGCTTCAGCTCCTGCAGCAGCGTGTGCGACAGGCCCACCAGCGCATACTTAGAGGCGCAGTAGCCGGTGAAGCCCCACAGGCCGACCACGCCGCCCAGTGAGGTCACCACGGCGATACGGCCCTCCCGGCGCGCCTTCAGACCGGGCACGGCCGCGTGCAGCACGTTCAGCACCCCGAAGTAGTTGACCTCCATCAGCCGCCGATGCGTGGCAATCGGCATCTCCTCGCAGCGCTGCGCCAGCGCGAATCCAGCGCAGCAGGCGACAAAGTAGAGCGGGCCCAGCTCCTGTTCGGCGCGGAATATGGCGTCCCTGACCGCCGCCGCGTCCTTGGCCACGTCCAGGGACAGACACTGGACGCGCGCGCCCTCCACCGCCGCCTGGATCTCGCGCTTGGTCTCCTCCAGGCGCGCCTCGTCCCGCGCCACGATAGTGACGTGCGCGCCCTGTTTGGCGCAGAGCACGGCCAGGCTGCGGCCGATGCCGCTGGAGCCGCCGGTGACGAGCACGTGCCGGCCGGCCAGCGCTGTGTGCCTCCGCGGCAGCAGGCGGCCCAGCAGTGTCCCGGCGAGCAGCAGCGCCACCGCCGCCACCGCCGGCCACAGCAGCCACCACATGGCGTCAGATCACAGCGGAAAGATGAGGATCTATAAACGTCTTCCACTGATAACAGCTCAGTGGCCAGTAAGGATCCCTAGCTCTGTCCCCCAGCAGCCCGGCCTCCAGCAGCGTCAGTCGGGTTCCCGTCCTCGTCTGACAGCCTGCAGCACGGACCTGCCGGCATCACGGGGCGGGACGGACATCTGGTGTGACATCTGCGCTCGCTGCGGCCATTAGCGAGATCGATGCGCTAAGCGGTGCTGATTGGAGAGCGCGGCGCCGGCTGCGAGTGGTGATGAGTTGCCGCCTAACGAGCCCAGCCAGGTGCAGGTCGGAGCCGATATCAGGTGTCGAACCGAGCAGCGCCGCGGCCCCGGCGACTCCGGGGATGGGGGGGGGGGGGTGTCTAAGCTTCTATCGCCCACTGCCGGACTACCCTTGAACAGAGGACAAGGAATAGGGAATAGGGATAGAAAGTAGCTCATTTTTTACCGGAGGACGGGGGTTTCAGTGATTTGGTCGTGAAAAATGAGGTAGCTTGAATGTCGATGGGAAATAGTTCATTTTATGACTTTGACCTGGCTGCTTGTGTCTTGCATTGCAAGGTTAGGTATTTAATAACTTATTTATTTTTTTGATATGCTGTAGTAGGTAATCAGAGGTTTAGGACACCAACATAATTTAGTGGTAACCAACATAATTTAGTGGTAACATGGCAGATCAGGGTTTTGGAAGCGAGGACTCTGCTTGGTTGTTACATTTTATCAGCAAGCTGCTGTTACTTTTTAGCTTCTCATTGGTCAAAATCATATAGTCTGTGCAGTTCACCAATGAGAGGCCAAGAAATGCCACATATGCACTTTCTCATATCAGAAAATCTCCAGCATGCTGATTGCTGATGAAAATTAGCAACTACAGAACAGCACCCAGCACTATAGGCATCATACTAGTCAACTAAAACTCCCATAACTGTTACAGAATTCTCAAATTCTGATTCTCGAGGAATGTTTTGATTATCTTCAATTGTGGAGCATGGTATGATAGATGTAAAAGCTGCTGTTCTTCAGCAACTGTTATTTTGGCCAAGCCAAAGAAGCTTTTGAAGCCCAATTCTATTCCAAATCACGCTTCCTCTAATCGTAACAGTGATTGCAGTTCTGGAGATGCTGAGGAAAACCGGTAATAGTAGAACAGACATCACACGAAGGTTTTCCAACCAAGGAGAGGCACTAATCTAATGCTATACCCAAAGGAGCTTCTTTCTAACAACCTAAACTTAAACCTAACCTGACCTGACCTAGCCTACAACTGAATAACATACAACCTAATAACCTACAACCTACAAACCTACGAACCTACACTACAACCTACAAACCAACAGCACCTCTCCTCGGTTGGATAGCCTTTGTGTGACGTCTGCTCTACAAATACAGAAAACCTAGGAGGATACATTGCAATTGAATATCTGGAAACTCAGGGTGGAAAAAGCCGAAAATACAGCTTCAAAGGCTAGCAAAGTAGGTAGGTAGATAACATAGTGAGAACTAACAGGGGCAACTAGGCACAAAATGCATATCACAGCGGGCTATCTGTTATTTGCAGCAGCAAGTCCTGAACTGCAGATTACTGACCAAATGAGATATAATTTTGATCTTGCTTTTACTTCGCACTAGTGCAACTGCAGGCCCCTTACACAGCTCTGTCCATCAAAGTGCAGCAAAGGAGTAAAATGGTGTTCGACATACCAATCAGAAGTTTCTCACGCAAGTTGCGCAGCAACGTGGGACTACCGCCAGCATAAACGCCATGCTTGGTTTCCGCCTATAACAGCGGGTTGCTAGGTAACCGATTGGTGTCACGCGAGCTTGAGCATGATGTTTCTCACCGTAAATGTCGAAACTGCGCAGCCTTCGTTGTAGCTTATTGCTTCCAAATTTAATTTGGTAGTCAAAGAGAAATTTCCTTCATCATAATTATGCACCGCCAGTGGCTAGGAATTATGCCATGCCCGGCCGTACAAGGGCCTTGGGCTTATATGTAGTTTAGCGGACGCCTGGCGGGCCGGCGTAACCCAGTCACCAGTGTCTACGTGTCGCACATATTCTATTCAATAGCCGTTTTGGGGTGGTCTTTGGTGATTCCGACCCCAAGCAGGACACGTTCGACAAGCGCGGCAGGGCGCGGGATATGAAACAGAAACCGTGCTTATTTGTAGCGTGAGATGACGTAATGCCCTACTTCAAGCTCTCTGAGTCTTCATTTCATAACTTAGGTAGGTACTCTAGTCTCTTTTTGATTTTGTCAATGCGGTTAGGTATGTGACTGTGAGGTCATCATATTTTTTTTCGGTCAATAACTCCGACCAAAGTGAGTAGATAAGTGAGTCGAAAAATAGACCAATAACTTAAAATGTGTTCGGCCTAAATCAAATGTTATACAGCATGACCTTTACCCCAACAGTTTCCCTACCTTGCTGGGTTAGACCTGACCGTGACCTGAGCTTGTCAATACCAATTTTACCTTTGTCTAACAAAAACGTTTATCATTTTACGCGACTGTCAAAAAACGCAACGATGCCAAACTAATGTCTCCACAACAATTTCTGTCAATTATTTATCAAAAGCACCATCCGGACTTTTGGGCAGTAGCGGCGGGGGGGGGGGGGGCACTGCCGACTTTTGGTCCCATTCTTTCCATTCAACGCCCATAGGGCTAATGTTAAAATGTCGAAATCAAAGGGAGCGGGGCACGGTGCCCCGGTGCCCTCCCCGTTCCGCCGCCTATGCGTTTGGGCCGTTTATTTGACAGATGACCGTCTTAAGACTTTTAAAGATATAGATAGGTACATTTGATATAGACAGGTGTATTTGAGAACGGTATGCATAAGAGTAGGTATACCTATACCTTCTTACCACATGTGGAGAGAAGATGCATTCTGGCGAATTTTCATTATTTAAACTGCTCGTTGAGGTCGCTTTCCATTGTTTGACATTGAAGTCATTTTCAGGCCTTTTAAGGATTTTTCATGTAGGTATAAGGTATGAAATCATCGTCCATAGATTGGCGGCAAGTTCTGGCGAACGCCCGGTTGGAGTTTCCCCTCGAGCAGCGGCACAAATTGTCGTATTCAGCTGGCCTGAATGCGACTCGTTCCACTGCAAATGAGGAGAGTCACGTTCGGTGGCGCTCCAGCAGAGCTGGCCAGCTGGCCCACAAACTGAGCCACGCCTCGGGAGGGGGCCGCCGGTCGGTCGGCATGGTGAACCGTGTTATTCCGATTCGGGACAGTGTTGTGTTGTCAGCGTTGGGTCATCGTTGGATTGGGTCAGTAGGCATTTGCTAAAAATAACCGGTAGCGAATGCAGGTTTGTGTTGTCAGCGTTGGGTCATCGCATCGGATTGCACCGGTCAAAGCGGATATGTTTCAGTGTTGTCTACAGCTTGACTTCCAATGCTGTTGATCGTAACTGAAAGGCAGTTTCCAATTATTCTCACATGCACCGTCACATTTGGCAAAACGATGGCGTCCAAGCGTTCTATGTATACGCCACTTTCATCGTCCTCGTGAACCGTCTATTTGCGGTGGCGCTATAACTTGTAGGGAAGTGTTGGTCGACTGCATAAGTCACACCTAAATGCAGTTATGTAACTAATTATTGCATTACTACTAATTTCGGTTACACTCCGAGCAGATCCCCTGACCACTCTGGCTGAGCTGACTATGTGTAATGTTTGTTGCCCAAGGGACGGATTAGGTTTCCTCCTCTGATGACGGAAAATGTCTCCTGTGTTTCCCTGGGGACGGGCGCCTGAGCCAGCAAATAGGACCCGGCCGCAGAGACGGACGGGGTCAACTTCCATTCCGCGTGTTTAAGATACCTATCTATCTCTATAGCATAAAGGACACACACATTTGACATTACAGATGTTTACGCCTACCGTAGTGGATTTCACCCGCATCATGCAATTGTACATGAATTACTTTTTGGGATTTACGTCTATCATGTTCAAGTCATACCTATAGGTCACTTACGGATAGTTACAACTTACATGTGCATAGAAAAGTGAGGGGCTGTGGCCCTCTGGGGGCCTACGGGCTACGCCGGCCTAGCTCTGAGGGCTCAATGTCAGCCAGAAAGGTCTCCCGTTGGTATTCGACGGGTATTAACGCCCGTGGTATGTTATTGTGAGGCTTGAGCGTCCGTTTTAAGTTCATACCTACTAAGCTAATTAAGCATTGACGGCGGGTAACGTAATAAACGGTAGGCACGGATGTATTTTGCCCTCGCTACCGATTATTTTCAGAAACTACTGGCTTGAGGGATGGAGCCTCGGCTTTCTTGCTAAGTCGGATCCTGCTGATGATTTATGGCTCAAATATAAATGAGTGGCTCGTTTTCTAGCTTCGCTAATCGCTTGTGAGACGCAATAATACTTACGGATGAATCTTATGAAACTGTCTTGACAGATCGTCTTGGTAACAGGAAACGCTACGGGACTGCGTGATATGCCTAATGTGCCTAATACCTGAGCTGTTGGTTTACTTCTACCTGGTGCGTTATTACTCCAATCATTACGGCAAATTATGGCATAATAGGGCCTATTATGCCATAATTTGCCGTATTGCTTGGAGCATAGGCCTCTGTACACCTGGTGTACGGCAGAAGTCTCATGCTTGGAATAATGACCCACTAGGCAGAAATAAACCAACAGCTCAGGTGACTTCAAAAACCGGATCTTTGCTAAACGTGACCGACCGGATCTTTGCTACCCAGCATGTGCAGTGGGCGTGGGAGCCTGACAGCCTTCAGTGTATGTATGCGGGCTGGTATAGGGGCTCGATGGCACCAGCAGCTTCCCGAGCCATCCCGTGTTATCGGTGTGACCGTGTGACCTGTTTCAGCCGATGGCCGCTGGTCGGAGGAGGACGCCGGCGTGGGTCGACTCAGGATGCAGCCCGACGTCCCAGAGCCCAGAGTGTCGCCGGACAGCGAGTGTGCAGCGCCACACTGCGACACGGGCGCCGGAGCCGTGGTCCAGGCAGCGGTCAGTGGAAGGGATTCGTGATCTGAGGGATATACTGTGTGCGGTAATCTTCTGCATCTATCGCAGACCTCAGTGGGAGGGCTCATGACCCGGCTACTGAGTCACGCAGCCTTTTGCAGCTGGCTGAGGCCTGGCGGCTCCAGAAACGATCTGAGAGATCCCCGTCAGTGATGCTGCAACCGGCGGCGTCTCTCGGGGATTGTGTCATTTGCTCCGACACGTTTTATTTATGCCCCTACATGCAACGTAATAACGCCAACTAAGGCGTGGTTAGAAGTCCGATCAAAATACTTTGCGCAAAGCGCCTGAAACCGTTTATTTTTTACATCCCAGGTGTGAAGGGATTATTTGATAGGGTGATACAAAATAGTTTCAACCCGCAATCCCTCAAGTCTCAAGACCGAGTGAGTGACGGTACCGCTTAGTCGTGCCCATGTTTCTGCAGATTGCGGTAGAATACTGACCCCTTAGCGTCTGACAGCATGCGCCTGTCGCCCTCAACGTCAGACGTCAGACCATTGACGCTCGTCGCTGACGGCGACAGGCCACCTCCGATCAGTTCCGGTGTTCTATCGCCCACGGCGCGTCGGTGGCGGTGGCAGCACCCTCCCAGCACTCGGGCCCTCTCCCCAGTTCTCGTCACCGCCCCTACACGGCCGGCTGATTAAAGACCGGCAAAAATTGCCACCGCACTGGCACGGCTGAAAGGCCCGCAACGACGACCACTGATTACTTTTGGGGAGCAGACGCCGTTCCGCCTCTCTCTCTCTCTCTCTCTCTCTCTCTCTCTCTCTCTCTCTCTCTCTCTCTCTCTCCCTCTCTCTCCCTCTATCTCTCTCTTCTCTTCTCCCTCTCTCTCTCTCCCTCTCTCTCCTCTCCCTTTCTCTCCCTCCCTGCCTTTCCACAAAAGCGTTCAATCAACCTAGTGACTTGACTACATCTTTACCACTTTTTGCCACTGCGATCAGATTTTACCGTTTAACCAGTACCTAAACACTGTGTAACTGTAGTCCCTCTCCGTGTGGCTGTGCGTGCTCTGTTTTCTAACATTCCCTCCCGGTCTCTGTGTGTCATTTCAGTCGTCCGGCTCTGGGGAGCTGTCCGTGGACGACTCCTCGATGAAACTCCTCATCCAGCTGGTGCACAACCCTACCCAGTGGGAGCGACTCAAACAGACTCTCAGTAAGTGGGCTCGCCGCTGAAACAAGATAAGCTCCTCCATCACGGGCCACAACATGTGCTGTAAATGCCAAATGGTCGTAATGACGTAACATATTGTTCTGTGACTTTTACTGTAGGACGGAATCCGAAAACCGTGAATACCAAAACCGTGTTCGCCACCCAACAGCCATCTGATCTGATCTGATAGTCAAAGCAGCAATCGACCCTGTACGTAATACCGCAGTCCTGTGATACAGCTATTGCTATACCAGAGAGGATCGCCGCTGGATGATTTCCTTAACGCTTCATATCAGATGACCATAGATCTGAATGATCTCTCCATTATGGGGGAAGCGGCGTTCATATCTGCGCCGGATAGCTTGATTAAATCGTTCGCTGGCGTCCACCGGCGGCGACATATGAGACAAAGCCGCGCTTTGCTCAGGTCTCCGAGTGAGTGGTGAGTCTATTTACTTTGTTCACGGTGACAGGGTCACTTTGTTCGCCTTCGTCTCTTATAAAGCCGAGCGCCGCCGTCGTCGTTTTTGGTGCGCGGCTTCCAAGGGCTGGCTAAGTTGGCGAATAACTGGATTTTCGAAGCACTGGAGTGGCTTGTTGTTGTGCGGGTCTGGCGTTGTTACCATCTTGGCGCCGTCCCGTGCCGGGATATAAATACAATTATCTGGACGTTTGAGTCCGCGATTAGCGTCCGGACTGGTGCTTAGCGCAGTTTGTGGCAGTCGAATGGCAAGCACGCCTAACGCTGATCTCCGCCGGTGTCCAGTAACCACCAATTCACGTGCTATGCATCAGCAATCTCTGCCCATGCAGGAAGTACTCGTAGGCAGGAGTTGTTCAATGAGGTGAGTCAAACAGCCACATTTGTAAGTTTGAGGTCTTCGGCCCTTCAGGCCTCGAGTCGGAATGTTTTGATCTTCAGCCCGGGTGTTCTGGTATTTTAGCCCGGCTCTTCTGGTATTTCAGCCCGGCTGTTCTGGTATTTTAGCCCGGCTGCTCTGGTATTTCAGCCCGGGTGTTCTGGTATTTTAGCTCAGCCGCTCTGGTCCGCTCTCCCAGCCGGGCCGCCGTGGTCCGGAGCCCGGCCGGGCCGACCGCCGGGGCTCGTCCGATCTCGAAGAGCGGCCGCCGGGCCCGGGCGCCCCAATCAGTCTCGCCGCCGCCCGTTGTCCGGCCCGGTCGATAACTCAACCTGTCCTGGACGCAGGAGCGCCGTGTCACACCACACCTTCATTAGAGTCGCACTGGGCTGCCTCGATTTAGCCGGTGACATCTGCGGAGCCCCGGCTGTCGCCACCGGGAAACGTCACGGGTCGCTCGCTCCCAGAATGGGCGACTGGAGAGAAAAGCGACCCGTGTGGGTTAGAGGCAACTGGCACGGCTTTAGTCGAACCATCCAGGGGGGGGGGGGGCTCAGGGCAACTGGCAATGTGCATAATCTAGCTGTCTTCGCATCGGCCTTTAATCCTTCCCATCCCATTGGTCGATGTGGTTTGTTGAGAAACTGCTCGCCGGCACAGCATAACTTCAGGCGCTCGACTCTAGCGTCATCTGTTGGCAAGTTTGGCATGCACACATCTGAGGCGGTAATTTTGCCCACAATGCGTCAGGATTCCTTGTAGAACATTTGAAAGATGACGATCCGTCTGCAGTGCAAATAATTGCTCCCGAGATAGCTGTGAAATGCTTTATAGTGGCGTAAAATGTGGGCCACCGGCCGTTAGCTTTGGCCGAATTGCTCCTTGGATGCCAGTTGCCGTCTGTTCTAATTTACTGAGGCCATATATTCAGTGATTTGGTACTGCCAGACTTCACAAATAGACAGCCACCCTGTCGAGAAGCAAGTCGTACCTTGGGAGCTGTTACCAACGCAACACGTCGAATTTGGGCTTCGGGGGGCCCCACGACACGCTGTTTTATTTTCAGCACTATCCATAATGGCACCTTACTGGATCGGACGAGACTGTTAGAGTGCAGCACAGCTGACAGCCGTGTTGGTCGCTATAGGTCAGAAACTGCCTAACTCGAAGGCTGACAATAGACAGGTGTACCTTTATTTGTATACCTAATGCGGTGACTGAGAACATGTGCTCCGTTTCAGACCGCATCCCGTACACGGCGGCTCTGGCCGGCCTGGTGGCGCACTCTCGGTTCTCGGCGGCGGCCACCACGCCGGCCCCGGCGGGCCGCTACCTGCGCTGGCGACCCGACCCGGCCGCCGCGGCCCGGCGACTGGTGTTCCGGCGCGGCCGCTGGCCGACCGGCGACGGACACCACTCCCGGGCCGTGGTACTGGTTAGCCGGGCGGCGGCGGAGACGAGTCGAGCGGCAGGACAGCGCTCCGACCTCACACAGAGCTAGGTGAGGAACAGCACAGAGCCCCGCTTACACACAGATCTGGGTGAAGGGACGTAAATTGAGCCCGTGGGAAAAACAGAAGTAGCCGGTGCGGGAAACGACCGACTGGGTTTGGATTTCCAGGGTCCGGCCGCTGGCATGGCCATAGCACAAGTCATACGCGATGTGGCGAAGGTTATAAAAATGCGTTGCAACTGCAAGACTAGTTCTTTTATGGCCAACCATGAAAAAATGTCGATGCATTTTGTGCCATGTCATTCGAAAAGACTAGGTGCTAGGGATTTTGTCCCCGTACCCGTCACAGCTAAAGCTTTTGGTATTCCAGACATCCACCATCTCTGGCCACGGACTTCAGACCAATTCCGATCTCTGAGACGCCAAAGCCGGTCAGTCCAGCCAACGAAGGCACTGACGGCTGCACACGAACAATGGCGTCAGCCGGGGCAACGCCGCGAGCGGCGACAGGCGCCGCTACAACCACGAAGCATATCATCGGCAGTGCATCATTTGCGATATGGTAGAGCAGCGTGTCTAAGACGCTGCCTGATAGCGGTAGAATTAGGTGCCGCCCGTATAGTGGTAACCCTAGGGCTCTTCCAAAGATATTCTGAACATGATTATTTCACAGCCTTTTCGCCGGCCGTGTCGTAGCGAAATCAGAGTTTAGGGAGCTCATGCGTCGGAGCCGTTGAGAAAATACAGTTGTGTGAATTCGCAACCACCTACGATGGTGTGTAACCGTTTACAATGCTCCCGGCCCTGTGGTGTGTGGTATACCTGTCTCGTATACGGGTATACCACAGGTATACCACAGGTGTACCGTGGTATGCCTGTCTCGAATTAGTGCGAACAGCCGAGATGCGAGGGTCGGGAAAGTAGCACGGAGCGGAGGTGGTCCTTGTTCTGCATCAATAGCTTTGCTTTTTAAGTTCCAGTTGTCTTCCTATTACGAATGGTATCCGTTCCATTACATTACAGTCGCACACCACACTAATCATACCGGACACTTCAATGATTTCACATTTCGTGGTATATAATCGCATCATTTCAGTTCACAAAGCGAAACTCGTCACAATTATTTGAAGCAGTATTCGGAATATTAACTTAACGACAACAAGTAACGAAGTGCAAAAATCAAAACTAAGCGACGTCCAACGGTGGATCAGACACGCATGTGACCTCGCATTACACAGCATCACTGCATGTCGAGTCGTTAAAACGCTTCAAAAGGCCAGGCAAACAATACACAGGTGGGCGACATTGGCACATTTTATCACAGCGGGCCGTCAAAGAGACGCAATGTCTGGAAGTTGTTCTAGTTAAAAGTCAGGCACATTTTGGTTGTACGTAAATACTGACGAAACGATTTTGGCCGCCATAGGAAGGCACGAGTCGGTTGAAGTCTTGGCATGACTTACCGCCAAGCTACGTCAAAAAGTTAACACAAGCACGTTTTCACAATGCTTATCACATGGAACGATAAACATCCACACATACGAGTATAAACCGATGCCGATGGCTTTAGTCATATGCACTAGCGAAGTTAGCAATCTTCTTCTGCTGTACCTGGCCATAAAATGGCACATAAATAGTCTTTCAACTACAAAGTCCATGCCTAGCGTCTAGTAAGTAAACTACTTTCTGACACTGAAATAGACATTGCAAAAATGCAGGCGTCTCCCAAGTTTCCCTTCTCAATCGCCCACAAACCACAGTTGGGAAGGCAAGGACGGCCCGGCGGCTACTGCAAGACAGCCTGTGTCGCACAAAACTGGACATCCTCTCTCCATCGTCCTCCGTAGGACAGTGCAGACGGCGGAGGCAGAGCTGGCCCAGCCTATCCCAAGGCGGCTGGTAACAGCAACAGCCGGCCTCCGAGCCTAAACTACTGCACGATAGCGCCGGCCGTACCGACAAAACCCGACGGCACAGCCGGTCAGTCTTCAGAGCACGTCTAGCGAACTACGGAGCGCACAGCGCGGACACAGCTCGACGGCACGACCATTTCCAACAGGGCGGCAACGGCGCCCAACAGCTATCGAAAATCTCCGCACAACGCCTCGGACAATACTTAGCGGCAAGGCGTTTATCGGGTAAGCTTCGTCAGTAGCGAGTGAGCAATGAATGTGCGCACTTGTCAATAACAACAACAATTATAAGTACACTTGTCTAGAGGGTCAATTACTTCATTGCACCCGAATAAGACGCGATAAAGCAACAACTAGAGCCTCGTTCACCTGAGCATCACAATAACAATAGCGCTAACAAACATGGAATCACTCCATACGATATTGTGTTCTGAAACGAACTTAGCATACCGTATGGAGAAATAGCTGGGCATTTCCATGTCATTAAAATAAAAGTCGGCGGAGTTCATGATAATCGAGCTAAGAATTCAGTCTTCGAATCAATCTATCTCAAACTTGGCAATGTCATGATTGTTTGCAGAGAGCAGGATTAGCTAAGGAACTGAAAGTATTGGATCTTAGTTTCCGCATTGGAACTGCCTTCGCAGTTTTCTTACGGTGATATTTCGATAGGGACTGGAAATGTAACAATATAATGCTTTGTCTGAAAGCGCACTGACGGGCACAGATGCAATGATCCATTACCATTCTCAAGCTAAAGGCGTGACTCTAACAAACAATAGCAGCATTACAATTAAATATAAATTTGTTCGGCGCAAAATAAATAGGAAATATTTGTTATAAGTAATACAGACATAGATAACTGCTATTCGTTCTAAACATTTAGACGAACAACAATGGCAATATTGAATCGGAATGGTCCGGCTATTAGTTGCAGGAAAGCTGACGACTGCTTTATGCAGTAACTATACTTAATCAGATCTTGTAGCGGTAATGAGATGAATGAAACCGTAGAACGGTTACTAGCCAATGAGCGCTAACGCGAGTCAGGAATGAGACGAACAGCACGGGGTAAGAGACACGCAGTTAGGTGCGACAATGGAAATGAGACACCTAGCCGGTCCAAAACAGGAAAATCGGCGACCATTAAAGCCATCATACACAGCAGCGCACCGTGGAGTACCGATGTACCTAACGGCGTACCCCGCTTCAGGCGGCGAGCGCACGTGAGTACTCACCGGATCTGGAACGTAGGCGCCACCTACCCAATCTAAAACCCAGTCGCGTAGGCTGCACGACCGGCTCACAGATGCTGTTTCACTTCGTCCAGACGTCTCACCACGGGAGCTACGCGCCCTTCCCTGGTTTGTCTGTGCGTGTGATGACGTAAAGCCCGGTCAGTCCGCCGGCATAGGAGGCCATCAGCCGGTCACTCTCCTCCACGACGGAGCGAAGAGCGCGCAGCGCCGCGTACGGCCATCCGCTGGTGTAGAGCATCAGCTGCTCGCCGGCGAACCGGTCCCGGATACCCTGGCCGATGGCGGTGGCCTGACTCGGCTGCAGGGACGTCATGCCGCCCAGACTGAGCAGCCGCAGACACCGCGAGTGGGCGATCACCGAGACGGCCAGCAGGTGCTCGCAGCGCGCCTCCGTGGCGTCCGTCGCCTTCACGCCACTCAGGTAGATCTGCCCGAGCGTCAGCCGGCGCAGCAGCGGCCGCAGCTTGGCCTCGAGCGTGGCGCGCGGCGCGGCCACCTGCAGCTGCCAGCTGCTGAGTCGCAGCTGTCGCAGCTGGCCGCTCTCGGCGCACTGCTGGAAGAAGCGCAGCAGGGCGGCGTCGCCGAGCGGCGCGCCGCCCACCTTCACCGCCAGGTTGAGCTCAGAGACGCGCGGGAAGAGGCGCTGCACGAGCGGCATCAGCTCGGCGCCCGTCAGCGGCCGGCCCTCGTTCACGGTCACCGAGACGCAGCGCAGGCCGAGCGTGGTGAGCCGGGAGCGGGCGGCCGGCACGCGGCGCACCAGCTGCGCCACCGTCGGCTGCCGGCCGTCGGGCAGCGTCACCGACACCGAGCAGCCGTCCAGTTCGAGCTGCATCAGCCCGGTCTGCTGCAGCAGCTGCACGGCCGCCAGCAGCGACTGCTCCCACTGCCGGAATAAGGGACGGAGCGTCAGACATAAAGGCGGACAAGCTCCGTCCCACATAAAGGCGGACAAAAAGACGGACAAAGCGACTGCAGGGACACGGGGCGTCGCGCCAGAGAAGACGGGAGGGCGAACGAACAGACAGGGAGAAGGTAAACACGAACGGAAACGGGTGTCGGACGGACGCGACAGGGCGGCATACATGAGAGAGATATGGTGTGAGACGGGGGAACTGGCAAAAACAAAGCGTAAAGCTGGGTTCAGCTGGGTATGGAACTTGAGTAACATGGCATACGCCGTGGAAGAATACGCATGCTAGAATTCGGGATAAAAATATTTTTAGATAGCCGAGTTGATCAGTACCTGATGAAGATTCACAGATCCTAGCCACTGACCTCCAGTCTGAAGGTCCAATGTGAGAGGTCGAGCAGCATCAGGCTGGTGCAGCAGACGAGCGACTCGCAGAGCAGGATGAACTCGGCGTCCTCGATGACCATGGTGCTGGAGTCCAGGTCGAGCAGCTGCAGCCGGCTGTTCTCCTGCAGCGCGAACAGCAGCGGCACCAGGTCGGTGGCCTGCGACACGTCCTGCACCGTCAGGTTGGTGAGGTGCGTGGTGGCGCGCAGGCTCTCGCCCAGACAGGCCAGGTCGGAGCCGGTGAGCCGGCAGCGCGTCAGCCGCAGCGAGGTCAGCAGACAGCCGGGCGTGCGCAGCGCGCAGAATAGCCGGTGGAAGCCGCCGCCGTGCGCCGCCGGGTCGCAGATGGGCTCGCGGCCGAGCCGCAGTCGGTGCGCCAACTGCAGTCCGGCGGCGCCGCCGGCCGAGCCGCGGCCCAGGCTGTAGTTGCGCCGCAGACTGGCGTCCGGCCGGCTCAGACTGGTGGCGCTGCCGCCGGCCGCGTGCAGCGCGTGCTCCGAGCGGAAAAAGTCGAGCGCACTGGTGGCGTGCGTGTCGGGTCGCCACACGGAGCAGAGTGTGAGCGCGGAGAGCGGCGCGGCGCGCACCAGCTCGGCCAGTGCCTGCATCGAGCCGTCGAACGAGACAAGGTGTGAGATGCTCAGCACAGCCACGGCCGGCGCGCGCCGCACCGCCGCCGACAGCTGCGCCATCTGCTCGGCCGACATGTCCAGATCGAGCACCAGCTTCAGGCGAGCCGAGCGGGGCACCTGCGGCAGCGCGTCGCACAGCGCCGACACGAGCGGCTGGAACCGGCCGAAGTCGCTGTCGTCCAGGTTCTGCAGCACGATCTCCAGCTCGCTGAGTCGATAGCGCGCCTTGGCGTCGGGTTCGAGCAGCTGTGCCACGTACCGGCCCATCGCTGTCAGTTCCTCACTGGTCATGTCCGTACCGAGCAGGGTGCAGAGTTTGACGGCGCGCAGCCGGGAGGCGGCGGCGCGCAGCAGCGGCTCGAGCGCCGGCACCACGCCACCCGGCCGGAAAACCACCTCCAGGCTCTCCTGGTGCGCGCTGTTGCGCAGCACGGCCGTCCAGCCGCGCAGCTCGGCCGCCTGGTCCGTCTGCACCATCACGTGCTGCTGGCCGGCCAGACAGAGCGCAGCCGCCTTCTGGGCGAGCGGCTCGTCGCCGGCCTCACGGAGCAGTGTGAAAAGAGCGCGCGGCGCGAGACACAGCGGCGCCAGCAGCTCGAGCGCCTGGTAGGCGCGCCGCTGGCCGTCGTTGAGTAGTGCCACCAGATAACGCAGCATCACCATCACCCCATGTGACGCTTTGGGCTGGCCGTCCAGCCTTTCCAGACGCACTAGCACAGGTGCCATCTCGTGCCGCAGCGCGCGCTGGTCCGGCAGCGAGGACAGGAAGAACGCCGCCAGAAAGTCGGTGAAGGTCCGGTGCAGCGGTTGGTACAGCTCGCGCTTCTGCACTTTTGAGACGCTGACTACGCGCGTCAGGAATCCCCACTCGAGTAGCTCCCGGTCGGAGACGTGGTTGGTGATTTCCTGCAGGCTGTAGCACACGCGCTCCTCCAGGCACAGCTGGACGGCCAGCCGGCCGAACTGGCGCAGCAGGCGCAGACAGCGGGCCGGCAGGGCGCCGTCCTCCTCCAGGCGCTGGCCGCGCCGCAGCAGACTGCGCCGGATCAGACACTCGAACAGCGACCGGTAGAGCAGCGCCTCGCTGGCCGGGAACGCCGCGTCACACTCCTCGTACACGACACAGAGCAGCAGGCAGAGGAGCGGACAGCGCGCCAGCTCGGCCAGCGCCGGCCGCCGGCGCAGTTGCTCCTCCAGGCCGGCCACCCCGTCCGGCCGGCGCACACAGCTGAAGTATTGGCGCACGTAGCGGCCCACGCTGGGCCGCTCGAAGCCCTGTATAACCAGCCGCCGGTGCACCCAGGGCAGCGCCTCGGCCACGTGGCTGGGTCGCGATGTAACCACCACGGTACTGTTGAGGAACATCTTTCCGGCGAGCAGTTCGGTGACGGCCGGCCGCTGCTCGTCGCGCAGTTCGTCCAGGCCGTCCAGCAGGAAGAGCACGCGCTCCTCGTGCTCGACCAGGTACTGCCACAGCTGCTCCATACGCTCACGGCCGACAATGTGCCGCGGCAGCAGCTCCCGGTGCAGGAAGTTGTACAGAGAGCCGTTGAACTCCCACAGCGGAATCAGAAAGGCGAACTGCCGAGCAAAAGGGAGGGAGGAGCCAGGTATCAGCAGTTGAATTCAGCGCAGCATGCACAGATAGCACAGTAACAAAAAGCAGTTGATAGGGTCCATCAATGTCCCATGATACATTACATTGATAGTTTCGGTAAATGTTACATGAAGACGTAGTCTGTATATCAAGTGAACGACATAGTGAGTGAAACTGAGCAACAACGTTACCGCGAAATGAAGAATACGCCAAAACCAGCGCCCATGGTCTTTAAATGAGAAATCAGCCCCCCCCCCCCCACGATAGTCGATACTCACATGGAAGTAGCGCAGATACTGCGGCGCGTCGTCGCACGCCCAGTCGTGCAGCAGTTTGAGCATCAGCGTGCTCTTGCCGAAGCCGGGTTCACCCTCGACCAGGATGCGGCGCGGCCGGGCGCCGGGTAGACCCGTCTCCCCCGGCTGGTGGGGGCGATAACACGCAGACCAACGTCAGGGAAACGAGCGCCGACGCCCTGATATCGAACTTGTCATGTCACGAATAGCCTCTGAAGCCTCTACCATCACGGTTAAAACACAGAATAGCCAAGGTGCACTGCGGCGGAGTTGCCTGTTTCGTCAATAAAATACAAAACTGCCCCAGTATTCACGTCGACTTCGTAAGTCGATTTTGTTGCGTAGGTATACTTTGGTATTCACGTCGACACTTTGCAAGATAGGTAGGTATCAGAGCGATTGATTGACTACATGGGCTGAAGCGCTCGCCAAAAGTCCTAACAATACACACGAAACGTGCTAGGTGTTATCATTGGGAATCGCCAGCACCATAACACAAGAAGCCAGGATTCAGGGTGCAGTTCGTACCAGAAGGGCCTTCATTATCCGCCAATGCTAGCCCACAAGTCCGTCTGATTTCCGTACCTAGAGCTATAAACGTCCGACATAACGGTGCACTGACTTTAACGAGCTCTCCCCACGTTTGGTGACTTCACGGTTCACTTTCAGCCATGTTTACACTCGCCCCCGGGTGCCAAGCGCGCCCGTTCCGACCGCGGCGCTGGCGAGATCCCGGACACGCAACGCGTGAACCCCGTCAGTCTCCCTCGTCACACCGCATTCTCAGACAGTAGCACCTCAGCAGCAGAAAGCAGCGGTAAGCGTAAGCCGTAAGACATCTCAGATACTAGCAATATAATATCGCTCCAGCCAGGGTGCGACGTCCTATTACAGTGCCGTACCGTGAGCAGGATAAACACCTGTTCCCTTACCGTGAGCGGCGCCAGCAGCTGGTCCATTTCCACCGGCTGCCGCAGCCGGTCGCCGTGCATGTCATTAACCAGCAGCGACAGAGCGATGTAGTACTCCTGGAGCGGCAGTCTGAACTCGGGACACCACGGGATCGGCTGCAGTCGGGTCAGTGTGTCCAGCCACCGAGAGCGCAGGTACGCCACAGTACGCGCCGTGGACTCCGGCAGAGGGGTTGACTCGTCCACCGCGGGAGGCTGCGGGAGGGGCAGAGGGGCTAGAGAGAGCAGATTGGGGGAGGGGTCGTCGGGCTACCGACGAATGTTTACTGAAGATGCAGACTGCAAAGCGTGGTCGCAGCGTGGCATGAACGTAAACATAGAATAGGACGATATACCTATGTAAGCGTTCAGTAGGCAGCCAAATATACCATGCGGCGATGTTGAGAAAATCATTCATCGGAGACTACCCACTAAATTAAGGATATTGTGTTACAACTTACACCATGCACGCATTCACAAGCCTGTTGAAGGTGCGATGTTTTATTTTACTGTATGCCTGGTCTATTCAAATACATTAGCCAGAGGGGTGTGGTAATAACTGGTGTAAGCAAATTGACCACGGTCAAAAATGCATTACCAGAATGCACTTAAGCCAACATTTTGGGATGTTCTCGTTCCTAAGTCGGCTAAGAGCTTCGGTCCAGAAAATAAATTTATCGTTGGCATCGTTGGCATACAGTAAAATACATACCAAACTCGGCCGGTGATAAATTTTCAAGACCTCAGTCCTTACTGATTTTTGAACTCGGCCTTCGGCCTCGTTCAAAAATCCAGTAAGGACCTCGGTCTTGAAAATTTATTTACACCGGCCTCGTTCAGTATTATATAATACTGCACACTACCCACAATATACCAAAGCAGCTCTCACATATCAAAAGGCCGCCACCCGGCCCTTCGGTGTCCGGACAAATTGCCGAAAGGCGATTTACCGAATGTCATTTTGCCGAATGCATTTCGCCGAATGTCATTTTGCCGATGTGCTTTTTGCCGACGTGTCAAAAAGTCGAAATGCTAAAAGTCCAAATGCCATTTGCCGACATGCCTTTTTGCCGAAGTGCCAATTTGCCGAAATGCCTATTAGTCGAAATGTAAATTTGCCGAAATGCGATTTGCCAAAATGTCGATTAGTCGAAATGTAAATTAGTCGATATGTCAATTTGCCGAAATGTCAATTTGCCGAAATGTCAATTTGCCGAAATGTCAATTTGCCGAAATGTCAATCTGCCGAATTGGCAGTTTGCCGAAATGTCAATTAGTTGAAATATAACTTTGCCGAAATGTCAATCTGCGAACCTTGGTTAGGTTAGGTTAGTTTAGGTGGTGTTTATTTACTTAGGACCGATCACCAATTTACTTTTGGTGCAATCCCCAAGTAAGAAGCAAATCACATGATATCCTTTGACCTCCTGATTCCATAACTAATAATTATTCATGGCACAAGCAAGTTTAAAAGCACCAATACCATGTGGAAATAAACATCAAATTGCTCGTGGCGAAGCAGTGCAGTGCCGAAGGCAATGCCTTGGGAGAGATTACAGGCAAAGGTAAGTCAAATATTTTTAGGTTAACCCTCGCCGGCCGAGGGGGGTGCGGGTGCCACACCCCCATAGGTTTTTTTCGCGATAGCTCCGAACACGCTGGCGATAGAGCTGAAACTTTGCATAGCTGACCTTTGATTCAAGCCGGATCTTTTTACATCAACCGCATTTTCGGGTCAGGTCAGGTCACCGACCTATGACGTCATAAAAGAACCTCTGCACGGTCTTCAGATGTCGCAACTTCGCAACGCCCTCACGGCCAGAGGAGCTTTCACAGGGAAATGAAACTTGCAGGACCTAATATCCATTACGAGTCTCACAGCTTGTATATCTCAGATTTTCCTAAAGGTTATTTGAGGACGAGGTCAGGTCATTTTCGTGACCCCACCAATCACCATTACATCTAAGTCAAGAAGAAAAATGAAAACTGCTATTCTGGCGCCGGGAACGACCTCTAACTATCTCAAGCACACAGAATCGTGATTTGACGCACTCCTTGCAAGGTTAGATGCGTAACTTTTGCAATGTTGACCTTGCGTGACGTCATTTATGACGTCATCAAGGTCACATTCGTTTTTCGTCAATAACTCCCGATCAAATTGAGCTAGCGAGTCGGGAAAGCCACCAATGGACTCGAGAATACCTGCCGAATCGAATGATATGCGACATGACCTCTTTCCACCAACTTCATGACCTGGGGGTGCTGACCTGACCGTGACCTGAGGTCAACACCCTAAGTTGACCTGACCCAATTAAAAATTATATCATTTGACGCGCCTAAGCAAGGCAAACACGATGCTGCCAAAATCGCGGCCCTGCGGCCCTTTGTGGCGAAGTTATTCGCCAAAAACTGAACCGTACCTTGGGGCACTTGACCTGACCTCAGAGGTCACCGGTTGACGTAGGACCTTAAAATCGGGTATCAATCTCTGCGTCTCGTAACGGCGCACACGCTCGTTTTTTCCGCGACGCGCCAGCTCCATCAGGGGCGAAACGACTAATAAGCATTTCGGCAAATGTCATTTCGACTTTTTGACAGGTCGGCAAAAAGCACTTCGGCAAAATGACATTCGGCGAAATGCATTCGGCAAATCGCCTTTCAGCAATTACCACCTCGGCCGGCGCGTATGTAGAAAACCAATAGGTCCGGTGAGGGTTAAATTGTTGTGTAGCCTGAAGCCTGATGCACAACCACTTAACCTAAAAATAATTGACTTATCATTGTCTGCAATCTATTAACCCGGCAGTTGCTGGGGTATTTCGCCACCCACCGTTTGCTGGGGGGGGGGGGCGTTAAACGCCCCCAGCCGATAGCTCGAGAACCAATAGGCGCAGCGAAACGCACGAGGCGGCAAAGAAAGAGCGCGACGAGACGCTTCAGATGAGTACTTTAAAGTTAAATTTTGAGGTCACAGGTCGGGTCAAGGTCAGGTCAAACACCTGAAATCGGGCTTTCAGTAGCATGGACTTCAGGACTTCGCAATGGGCGCCTCTCGCCATAAACTCTGTCAAAACGGTGCACAATCCATCTTATAAGGCCTACAAGAGTGTCAGCCCCATATAGGGGTCAGTCAAGCATAGGTCAGGGTCAAGGTCAGGTCAACCGGGTAGGCACATATCCCCGAAAATAAAAACTGATATTCGCAGCCTGTGACACATGTTTTATAGGTAATTTGGGGCGTAGAACACGATGGTGACATTCATTTTGTCATATGTGTACGTGTTTGGCTCAAAAAGTTCAATTTAAGAAATTCATTTATCATGGTCACGAAAAATTGCCAAGATTCAGTTCAGGATTTTGGAAAATGCGGAACGATAATCAATAATTGAAGATAGCCATTTGATTGCTCATGGTATTGGCAGTCTAATGGCGTTTATGGCATGTCTGTATGTCTATTATGTGATTTTATATGATTTTTTGAACATATGCCGTTTTTGGTCGAAAACTCAGAAATCATGACGTCACTAAAACCTCGATATCTCAAAAATTTTCCGACCGATTTTTTTGAAACTTTGTCAAAATAAACTTCAATTAATTCTCTACAGGTACCCAAAATTTGGCGCGCCTGCGGCGCGCCGTTTTTTGCCGGGCCATAGCGCCTGCGGCGCTATGGCCCGGCGAAAAAAGTGGGGGCGTTTAACGCCCCCCCCCCAGCAACTCGCGGGTTAATGTATCTTCTTCCTTATCCACGGGTAGGCAAAAATCAGTACGTCAGGTAAGGTAAGGTTTAGTTATGTTTTTCTTATACTTTGGTGACATGTAAGTGGGTTTCTAACTTTGAAAAGCGAGTCGGTCCTAAAGTTAATACTTACGGGTCAGGTTAGGTTAGATTAATTTCGACTAATTGGCATTTCGGCAAATTGACATTTCGACTAATTAGCATTTCGGCAAATTAGCATTTTGGCGAATAATTGACATTTCGGCAAATTGACATTTCGGCAAATTGACATTTCGGCAAATTGACATTTCGGCAAATTTACATTTCGACTAATTAGCATTTCGGCAAATAAGCATTTCGGTGAATTGACATTTCGACTAATTGACTTTTCGGCAAATTGCACGTCGGCAAAAAAGTTAAAGGCATGTCGGCAAATTGCATTTCGACTTTTAGCACTTCGCCCTTTTGACACGTCGGCAAAAAGACACGTCGGCAAAATGCATTCGACATATTGGCATTCGGCGAATAAGCATTCGGCAAAATGCAGTTCGGCAAATTGTCCTGTAAACGGCCCTTCCCCGTCCCCGTTCCCCTTCGTACGCACCTGTCTGGGACTGGGTGCCGGTGGCGAGCTCATCAAGCCGTCCGTGTGCAGGTGGATGACATTTCCGATAACGACATCCTTGCTGCTGGCGACACTGACAGAGCCAGAGAGTCGCGGCCGGCCGACCGAGTCGAGCACTCCGCGCAGCAGGCCGGCCAGCTCTCCGCCGCCGTCCGAGCCGCCGCCGCCGCCGCCACCGCCGCCAGGGTAGCCGATTGTGCGACCAACGCTACCTGGGTAGCAATTTGTGCCTCCACCTCCGCTGCCTGGGTAGCCGGTTGTGCGTCCAACGCTACCTGGGTAGCAATTTGTGCCTCCACCTCCGCTGCCTGGGTAGCCGGTTGTACCCCCGCTACCCGGGTAGCAATTTGTACCGCCGCTGCCAGGGTAGCAGTTTGTACGTCCAACGCTACCCGGGTAGCCATCGGCGAGTGCCGCCCGTTGTCGAGACAGCGTTGGCACGCTGCTGCTACCGTCACTGTAACCGCTATCCGGAGCCTGTGAACGGGAGAGACGGGAGGTGTAAGCTGAGCTGTAGCTCACGGGTTGGCGAAGGGGGTGCGTGATTGTTTTTGGATCGATGAACATCGAACATACTAGCAAGTTAGCAGCATGCTTGCAACTGGATCGGCGATACGAAGAAAAGCATACAGCCTGCTCTCCTGTGAGCAGTCACAGCACCACCACATGTGTTTGCTTTGTCATATATCCACCGATAGAATTGCCAGCCCGCTCAGCTACGCAACTAGAAATAAGTATCTGTAGATTGAGGAGAACTATCGGTACCTACCTACCTACTGCCTTTTTGGACGCGAGCTATGTCCATCATACGCCAGCTCACAGGCCCTTAGAAAAAAAAAAAACATGCAAGCGTGACCAAGACCGCCACGCGGCCGTTCTTCTTCACCCAATTATTATATAACACACAGGTCATGTATAGCGCCACTAGGCCTATCCTATCGAACAGTGGAAATAATGCTATCACGAGGCTTAAGGTGGCTTAGGTCAGCAAACAAGGTCCTTTAACACCTCGATAACACGCTTGTCATTATCTAACAACGTGTAGCCTAGCCATGCCCCGGGACATCAACAGGACACGTATGTATGCCGCTTTGGCTCCAGTTCTCGACTCGTGACGGGTTTATCGTCCCGATCGGAAGGATTGACGCGGAGCACGACTGCACGCCGATCTCTCCGCGCGCCTCTGGAGCCTCTCCGAGACCAAACAGCCGCCGGCCGGCCAGGCAAAGAGGCGTCAACACGGGCCACCACCTCCGAGAATGTCTTTGTAGCGTCGGATATCACGGCGGATGGCGCGCAGAAAGTGGTGCCTTGCACCTGATCAGGCTCAGATGGCTTATGTTGCACGGCGAATCTTAAACAACAGTCGCAATTATGTCAGGAGACGGGAGATGTTCGGAGCAGATGAGAAACCAGCCGTCGATAGATCGCTAGCAGAATCGATGGTGAGTAATTGATAGGTGTTTTGGGTCATGCTTGAATTGACGTTAACGGATTACCGTGAGAAACCTGTTTCACTAATAGCCAATGATGTGTGACCAACCACACACCGTTACACCGTGCTGCTGCGCGGCCCATTCTCTGATGCCACGGAATGTTGACACTCTGTGTCACCTTGGTGTTGACACTCAACATCAACACCACCATCTGTTCACCACTAACAGCAGTGACGACATCACAGCCGGTTCCAGGAGCCCGGCCGATTTACTGGCAGCACCAGATGGCCGAAACCAATCGGGCTGCACTGGAGCACGCCGAGTGGACCGAGCAACACCCGTTCCCACAGCCCGACCAGCCAGCTGATAGCGGCGAGTGCCGTCGTGATGGCATCACGCAGCGACCGAGTTTCTCACGGCGACACTGAGATCATAGTCGCAGCGGTATCAGTATGAGATTTAAACTACGCTGCAAAACTGGATCCAAAAACATAGCGGCTGGCACGGTGCGATGGGAGATTAGAGCGATGATGAAGGGATGGATAATATTTGGCGAGACAGAGCATGACATATGAAATACGTTGCCTGATTTGGATGGGCTAAATCATTCACATAGGTCAAAGCCATGTTCAAATAAGACGAAATTTTGTAAAGTAAGTCGAACTAGAAGGTTAGCCATACTGACACCGTTTGTAAATTAGCACCTACATCCTCGTACAATTAAATGATGGAGATCGAACTTTTGCATTAGAACTTTCGAAAATCGAATGCCGGTTTTCCCCATTATTAACCTTACATGACATAATTACTGAACATATAGGTAGAACCTTTAAGCGATCCAGCAAGCCCATGAGATGAGCTGATACACTAAGCAGACCAGTGCCTGGTAGTTCGATACTACCTGCTGTATGTACACTGTTCCGCACAACTCTACCCAGTCCCCACCATCCCACTAAGTGCAGTCGGTCGTCGCTGACCGACCGACCGCGTTCTAAAAAGTATCATTCAGTTCTCAGTCTTCCCACCCAGTCCGACCCATCCCCCAACCAGCCCCACCCCTATAAATCCAATACCGGGACCCACCTGACTGCTCCGATCGGGACTGGCGGGGGTGCCGGCGGTGTCCGGGGTCTGGCCGCGGGTCGGCTCCCCCTCTGGCGGCGCCGTCTCCGGCAGCAGCGGCGGCGGCCCGTCGACGTCCGTCTCGTCGGCCGACCAGCTGGCCACGTCGTCCAGGAGGTTGTTGACGCTGATCTCGTCGGGCAGGGGCCGCGCGGCGGTCACCGGCGCCTCGCCGCTATCGTCCTCGTCCTCTGTCTCCGAGTACCAGCTGTGGAGGCGGATCGGGGCGGGAAACACGGGCGCCGGCCGCTGACCGGCGCCGCCGTCAGTCGGTGCCGCCACCTCCAGCCCACTGCACAGTCCACATTGGTGGTCTAAATACACTTAAAGAAATGATGAGGATGGAGAAGCCAATAGATGCAAAATAAATACATATCTACACATCAATGCAATTTACCTGTCTATATTTAAATTATAAATGATATATAATGGGAGTCTCAAGGGGTAAATTACCAGTAATCATTACCTACCTGGATAGGTATATCAGATTCTTCATGATCAATAAAAGGAATGTCCATTGCTAATAATATGTTTCTTCACTGTGCATCCATGCATGTGAATGACTTCATTTTATCAACCTGGAATATGGAAAATGTTGTCAGGCAAGGACAAACTGTACACCAGTCTCATCTCATTAGAGATGTCAATCATTGCTTATTGCTGGCAATGTCATTTCATTCAAGACCCTAAAGCAATTGCAATCACCTACAACTATTAAATGGTGCAAAACAACTAATATCTTCATCTTACCCTGAAATATTTGCTTCACCTCTTGCCTAAGAGCTATCCCTGATCACTTGTCACAGTTAGGTATGTGTAGGTACAAGAATCATAGGTTAGGCAATGTAGTAAACTTTGTGTGCGGCTTGGTTAGGTAAGTTTGAGTTTAGGTTAGGTTAGGTTAGGAGTGGTCCGTTAGCATAAGTAAGGTCAGGTTAGATAGTGCTGTTTTTCTGTTAAATTTGACATATTTACTTTGATGAAAACATGTCCTATATAATTCCTTTCCTGAACAGGCCTTTGCTACAAAGCACATGCTTCTGGCAATGTTATAAACATCATAAAACTTTTTCATAAAATTTCTTCAAGCAGTTGAGTGCCAGTCATTCATATGACATCTGTGCTATTGATACCCATAATTCAGTGTATATGTTTATCAAATTTACTGTATTCATCTACATTCTGAAATCTGAATTCTAGCAAAGCATTAGTAGACTAGAGGTGTCAAAGTTAAAGGAGAAACTAAATTAGCAAATGTATAATCTTCTAATCAATCAGGATACCCAGGCAACATTATAATCAAAAGCCTGCATTTAAACTAATATGAATTTGTGAGTTTTGGGGGATATTAAAGTACCTACCTTATACCTACCATGCACACCCCAAAATGAAACAGCTAACAAAATCACGGAACTTGCACAGCATGTAGATACATTGACATACTCCATCAGAATGTTGGGTTACCACCTTACTTTGATATTTACTACTTGCCAGTAACTTTACAAATATCCAGATGAACTACCTAATGCATTAACTTCAGGTATTGCTGAACCTATGGGGGGAGGGCTACCGCTAGGTTATGGAGAGCAATCCAAAATAATTTCAATAACAGCTTACGTTTCCCGAACCCACCGGATTTTCAGCAAGACTGAGACAGCGGGATGAAGCATAATGATAAACAAGCTGAAGTGGAACTTGGAAGCCAGAAATATGAAACAACCCAAACCTTTCCTTCTCTTATCATTCAACATATGCCGTAACCTAAGCCTCATCAGCCGTACTAAAAAATGTGTTACAAAATACTTACAAACCCTGCTCATTCTCAAACTCTGTAAATTTCAACCAACCAATTGTTCTAAAGTTATCCACCCACAGCAGCGTATGCCAAAGGTGAGCAGCTTACAGAAAACTAATTGCAGTTGCTGCGTTGAAGTTGTCTATTTTTGAAAGCTGCTTCCATATTTGTAGTAGAAAGTGGTATATATTTCTAGTACGTTACAAAAATTTGAACTGCAGCTATTTTATATATTTGCACAGTGGGCCAGTGGCTATTTTATGGAATAGTAAGCCGATTCCTAAGGCTAGTAAACCATGAAGAAATAGTACGCAGTGTTGGAAAAGGTCATTTGAAATCCTTACTACATATGCTAGTAAACCATGTCTGATGACAGTCACTAAAATGAGTATGACAAAGAAAATTGAAATGTCACCGTGGATATTCACATCCTCTTCATAAGACTGCGTGAACTAAGTATTGCTGTGAATATAGATCGTCGACTGCCGTGAATAAGGCCATATATAGTGAAATGTGGGCAAAGGGCCGTGAAATGGAAAGCACGGCCTTGGAAAGCACAACATTTGGTAGCACACTGGTGCCCTTTGAGCTCACCAGTAGTTGCCGTAACCGCCACTGGAGGCGTGCCGATCGTTGACCACCAGCCAGCCTGGCGCCGGTCAAATATCAGCGATGTCAGACTACCCATATTCAGCCCAGATTCAGCCGAGATTCGGGACACCTCAGGCTGAAACTTGCACACAATAGAGGCCGAGACATACACAATTCATCATATAAACATCCTGCTTCCGTTGCTTCTTAAGTTCTTACCTATCTTTGGTAAGAATCCGCCCGAGGTAAAGGGTGGCATCCCCAGCCGTTTGACCTGGGCACTGGTTCACGGCACTACACTACAGTGGCGCTATGCTGCGCTACGTCATTGGTGCAGCGTTTTAGACGAATTCGCCTCGACGCTTCAGCGTTGCGAGCGTTCGAGTTTATTGATGTTTCCATGGAAATCCAAATCCAATACACCGCACGCGTAGCGCGCTGCAGCGTCGTGCTGTGAAACGGCCCTGCAGAGGTCAGCAAAGGTCACGTAACCCAAAACTGCACAGCGGATTGTGGCCCACCCAGCAGAGCTGGAGCGATAAAAACGGCACCAAACGACTCGCCAGCATCTAATCTTACTTACCTTCGAGCAATTTGACCTGTTAAGGGCATGCGATGATCTAAGGTCACTTGTGGGTTATGTCAAAAATAGGTCAGGGCCTATTTTAACATGTTAACTGGGGGGGCAAATGCCCCCGCACTCAACAGAATTGCCCCCCTAGTCGTCGAGATTTGCCCACTATAAAAATGGGCATAAAGGAACAGGGTGACAAACATACTACGTAACTACTGTGACTTGTTTTGCATTGGATGTCAAATGAGTCAGTCTGTAAGTAATGACCAGTGGTGTATCTAAGGGTGGGTCATATGGGTCATGACCCCCCACCCTCTTGGGGCCCGGGGACACCACAGGCCTGCCAGGGGCACCATCGGCCTGTCAGGGGCACCACAGGCCTGTTGGGAGCACCATCAACCTAGCAAGAGCACCATAGGTCTGCCAGGGGCACCACAGACCTGCCAGGGGCCCCACCGGCCTCGCAGGGGCACCATCTTGGGCCTGTCAGGGGTACCACCACAGGCCCGCCAGGGGCACCATAGGCCTGCCAAAGGCACCATAGGCCTAGCAAGGGCGCCACGGACCTGTCAGGGGCACCAGAGGCCTAGTATGGACACCACATGCCTGGCAGGGACACCACCGGCCTCGCAGGGACTGGGACACCTTGGGCCTGTTAGTGGCACCACGTGCCTGTCGGGGACACTCCAGACTTGTCAGGAGCACCACAGTCAGGGTCAGGGCCCAGGGGCACCACCGGCCTCACGTGGACACCACCGGCCTCGCAAAGGCATCATGGGCCTGTCAGGGGCACCACGGGCCTGTCGTTGGAACTTCAGGCTTGTCAGGGGCACCACAGTTCTTTCAGATGCACCGGCGGCCTAGCACCATGGCACCATGTTTGGCCGAGGTCGCGATTCGGCGTATGTCGCCTCGCATTAGCCGCGCGTTTGCAGTCTTTTCGTGGTTTCAAACGTTCAAACATGGGATATGATGTTGCTCCCATGCATTAGGGTGGGTGTCAAGATCACCGGAAGGTCAGGTCAGATGACAGATCATTTACCTTTGATGACCTCGGTTCACATTTTCGAGTTTTATATGTTTCTAGGCTAGTTTTTGGAGCTGAATTCGAATTAAGCAACCATTTGACCATTTACGAAGTAGTTTTGGTGCCTTCGTAACATGTTACGAAGCTGTCAGAGGCGGTTGCCACCTACTACGAATACCCGGCAAAACCCTTACTGGTTGACCTGACCTGACCTGACCTGGCCTAAATGCATGAAGACATCATCTATGATCATAACTAACATGATATTCGTGATCAGCACCCCGAAAAACCATAGCAGCCACTCTTTACGACGCTCTAACAGGTCCCGATTTTCCCGACTTTTGGGTCAATGACCTGACCTGGAAGGTCAACCGATGACCTAGGACCTTAAAATTGGGTGTAATCGGCTTCCTTTCATCACGGGCAACACGGTCGTTTTTTCCGCGAAGCTCTAACTCGATCAGGGGCGAAACGGCAAGGGGGAGGGTCCAACGGACCCCCCCCCCCTATACGCTCGCTACTGGAAACACCAATACGGGCGAGGGTTAATGGATTATTAAAGACAATTTTCCAGGTTGCCCCCCCAGTCAAATTCCCTTAAAATAGGCTCTGAAATAGGTACACTTCCCCAGCGGTTCTTGACTATAAGGATCGGTTAAATCCTCAATTCCAAATCAAAGCAGAGCATCGGGTAGCTCATAAACCGCAGTAACTTTTCCTGAAAACAGAATCTCGATAGGTAAGTGAATGTGATCCCCGTTTGACCTCGGGTCTCGGGAGCACAAAATGAACAAATAAACGATATTGTCGCAGTCCGGACTCAGTCCCGATTCGGGACACCTCAGATTAAGCTAAAACTTGCACATTTAGGCTATGGCCGTGGCATACATAATCCACAGCCCGAGACATTCAGTGGCACCCCCAGCCGTTTGACCTGCAGAGGTCAGCAAATGTCACGTCAACCAAGTACCAACTTAGACCTTAGGCCATCACATGACCTTGAGAGGTCAAATCGCCTGAGGGCAAGTAACATTAGATGCTGGCGAGTCGTTTGGTGTCGTTTTGATCGCTCTAGCTCTGCTGGGTGGGCCACAATCCGCTGTGCAGATTTTCGTCAAGTGACCTTCGGTGACCTCTGTACAGGGGTGGAGAATTCGCCGGTCCCGCACGGGCGTTCCCGGTTATAACAGTCCGGGTTCGAAGCGCGGCGGGCGCTTGACATTTATGAGCCTCCTGACAGGTATGGTTGCAGTTGGTGGCAGGCCGTAGCCAGGCGAAGTCAGTGAGCCGGGACCGGCCATGCGTGGCTATGTGCACACGTTACTTAACGCATATAAACTATAACGGCTATAAACGCACGTTAAACCGCAACAAGCTTCGCTTAGCGGTGGCTCTGTCCTTGTGAATCCTTCCTATCAAAAAGTTCGGACAAAATTTATAAAAAAGTATTAGGGGGTTTGGGGGTGCTCGAGCTCCCCCTGAAATTAAAAGTAAGATTAGATGCTGCAGCATCTAATCTTACTTTCCCAATTCCCATTTGACCTTTCAAGGTCATGCGATGACCTAAGGTCATTTGTGGGCTATGTCG